TCACTGAAATTTTAAGTATAGTTGTCTGCAAAATGAGCAGTAGCCATGAGAAAGCTGATGGATTTTGCCAGTGCTTCTTCATATTCTAGTAATTGTGTTTTAGTACAAAACTGAGTGTCATGCTGCCTGAAAGGCAGGTACCGAGTCTTGCATTTACACTTTGAATCCCATATGAATACCTAGTCCTTGGGCAAGTTACTTTTTATCAGACTGCAGACGACAAGAATATTTGAAAATCCAAACTCCAGACAGGCTGAATTAGGTGAGCAGGGGTGGTTTGAAAATGTAGAAAGAAAAGCTGGATCCATTTCATCCATTTCTCAGATTTGCCAGGACTAGACACCAAGTGTAAATATGACTATGGATAAGTAGCTTTCCTTAATGATTGTTCTTTCAAAAACTTGGGATTCCCCTCTGAGTAGTCCCTGAATACTGATCTCTGCTGACAGCTCAGTGAATACAGGATTCCCATGGCTGGTATCAGAGCACGAGTTTTGTTCCAGCTCTGCAGGGTCTGTCTCAGGAATGCCAGGCTTGCTCTGTCTGAACTTCTCTTCACCTGCCCAGAGCTTTGTTGTGGCTTGTTTGGCTGTTAAAAGTTTTCTCATGACCAGGTGGCTATTGCCTGACTTGTTTTACTTTTTTTCTCAATCTATAGCTGCATGGTGTACATAGATACTATAGATCCTATAACAAGCAGGTTTTCTGTGTAGAGCAACATATTTATGATTTTAGCGCCGTAAGGCAGATGAATACCAGTCTGATACAAGCGGGGCCTTGAAAACAGGCATGGGATGTGGTGTAGAGGACCAGAGACATGAGATGTTTAGAGAAGGGGCACATGATACTGGAGATCCTGAGAAGAAAAACAGCCCATAAATATTCTAACTGCTTTGTTACTGAACTACTTTGTCACTTTGTTCTTTTATTAATAATAGAGACTAATCATTCTTTGATCACTGTTAAGATTTCAAGCATACTAACAATGAACCTGGCTTTACTTATGAAGTGTGTTTCGTTCTGCCCATAAGATGACGTGCAGGATGCTTGTGTTTGATTCCTCTGCCGTGGCAGTGGGTGATGCTATCACTGCTGTCAATGCTCACACTCCTGCAACTGGAGGTGCCAGGATAATTTGGTATGTGTTGCAGGCTGACGGTAGCTTTAGTGCAGGTGTCTGGGCATGCAGGCTCAGGTGGAAAGAGTATGGAAACATGGCTTTGGAGACAGAGCTGAGGAAAGAAAAGCAGTGCTTTAGTAGGTGAGGGGGGAGGATGTTAGTTCCGGGAATGTCTGAAGGGATGAGTGATCTCAGAGAGAGCTAAATCCTCCAGTGCTCAGTGTTCGCAGCTGGCAATGTTTCCTCAGCCTGAAGTTCTGCTTCTTATGGGTTACATAAGAGTGTGGTGTCACAACAGTCACTGTGTCCAGCAGCTGTGACTTGGGTATCCTTCTAAAAATACAGCCAAGTTTGGAAGTAATGTGGATGGCAGCATCAGGAATACGTCAGCTGCACTCTCAGCAAACTAGCAAAGCACATCTGGGGAAGGTGCCATGTAAACATAGCAAGTCTGTTCTTATCCAATACTCTCCTGTGAAATGTTTTTCTATTATTACCTCTCCTGTTCTTTCCCTTAATAGCAGGTTGTAATGTGTTTGCAGTTTATTTGAACTAGGTTCAGCCCCTCCTCCATGAGGTGCCTAACAAAGCACTCTTCCTCCTCCTCCTCTTCCTCCTCCTTGATTCTTTGAGCTTCCCAAGCTGAAGAAGATGTTTAAAGGTGTAGGATCCATTCGGAGAAGCACTGTGTTGACAATGACAGGAGCTTCCTTGACTTCAGAGATTCTAACTGGCACAAGCTACTTTTAGTCTCAGTGGTGTAATGGGAACAATCTTTTACCTTAAAAAAGACTGCTTCCTGAATTCAGCTCCTACTGATTTCTCTAGGGGCACTTTCTGCGTAGCAGGTGTTGCTCAGTGAGGAATACAGCACTTTGGCTCAGAATAGTGTAGCAGAAACAAGAATTATGTATTTCATTTAATTAGTGTTGTCTTCTCTGCTCTGCCGTAGGGAAGTCCATGACATTCACCATCATTCAGCTTTTTTAATAGCACTCTTAACTGTACACTAAAATCTCATGAATGAAAATAGAGGAATTTAGAAGAAAAAAAAACAGGTCATGCTGAGTATATCCTATTCCTACCAGCTGCAGAGAGATCTCCAGCTCCGTTTGACACAGTGTCACCTGGAGATTCCAGCACCAAGTGTTATGGATTTCTTTCCAAAGGTAAACCAAAGGCATTTCAACCATAAGAGAATCTGAATTACTGGATCAAAGAAAGGTTTGGGTTGGAAGGGACCTTTAAAGGCCATCTAGTCCAACCCCACTGCCATTGGTAGGGACATCTTCAGCTAGATCAGATTCCTCAGAACCCTGTCCAACCTCACCCTGAATCTTTCTAGAGATGAGGCATCTACCATCAGTCTGGGCAACTTGTTCCAGTGTTTCTCCACCTGTGTGGTAAAAATACTCTTATTTACATCAAATCTAAATTGACCCTCCTCCAGTTTAAAACCATTACCTCCTTTACTATCACAACATGTCCTGCTGAAAAGTTTGTCTCCAAGATGAAATAAGCTTCCTGGCACTGTGCTTTTGAAACTGATTTTCTAAAGAGACGACTGACAACCCAAATACCCAAGTGATATTTGGTTCATCCAAGTTTAATTTTGCGAAATTGTTTTACAGCCTCAGTCACTTTGCAGGCTGAAGGGTCTGTTTCTCCCAACTGTAGGATCGACTGATTGCTTCACTCAGCAAGGCTGAGTGAACTGTGTAAATGGAATTAGGAAAGGACAGAGTAGGTGATTCAGTGTTATCCATTTTTAAGGAGAATCTAAAAAATCCCCTTCCCACACTTTGAAATTATGGGCAGGCAAAGCTACATGAATACAGCAGCCTTTGGGCTGAGGAACATCAGCAGTTGCTTTTTTGCTCATCTGTAGAACAGAAGATTCTGCTCACTGAGGAAGGAAAGGCAGTCGCAGTTCTGAGAAACTGATCCTTTTGATACTGAGAATATGGGATTTTCCTGGAAATCAATTAGTATAAGCCATTTTTTAGTGCTTTGGTTTCCTTATTTATGAGGGTTTGGATATCACTCTCCTTCAGTAGAACTTTGTAGACACTAATGGAAATAGATTTAAGCTGATTTGTATACTTAGGATGTAGCAGGTTGGGATGAATTGTACGTTCATACAGAGTTATCAGTTAAGTTGACAAGAGGAACAAAGCGATCGATGCCAGCTGTGCATTCAGCCTGTTGTGAACTGTAATTTATTCTTACAGCTTCCAACTGCACAGGGAAACAAGAGGAGATTATATATTCTTTTGCAGCAGCAAGGTAACGGTACAGAACTTCGAAGGCTAGCTGCCACTGAAAGAGTACGTTTACTGGTGAAACATTTGTTCACTAGTTTGTACTGTTAAAGGTATTTCCATAAATGAAGGAGGAGGCACACTTCGTCAGATATTTCCTTTTTGTGTGGAAATTCCTTGTTTGCCTTATCGTCTGATGATCCTACAGCAGCAAGCACTGACAGTTCCAAAATTGCTGCTGCTCATAAGGAAAAGGCACTAAAGGCTTTTTTCAACTATCTAGATATTCTAACCCTCTCTTGGGAGCACATTCTATTACTGCCCATTGCAGTTAAGGTAAAGTTATGATGGAGCAGGAAGAGTGCACGATTTGAAAAAAGGGGAAAAAAACCCCAGTGCAATTATTACTAGTCACCATTTGCAAGATATCACATCCTTAAGCAATAACTTCAGCTACAGATGTGGAGATGAACTTAGTAACTATGAGTATCCCCAGTTAGGTAGAAATAAAGAGAACAACAAAAATGTAGTCACTGTTCATAGAATCATAGAATAGTTTGGGTTGAAAGGGACTTTAAATATCATCTAGTTCCAACCCCACTGCCATAGGCAAGGACACCTAGACCAGGTTGCTGAAAGCCCCATCCAACCTGGCCTTGAACATTTCCAACTTCTCTGGGTATCCTGTTCCAATGACTCACTACACTCACAATAATTTCTTCTACTCTAAACCTACCCTGTTCCAGTTTGAAGCCATTCCTCCTTGTCCTATCACTACACGCCCCTGTAAACAGTCCCTCTCCAGCTTTCTTGTAGACTCTTTATATACTGTGTATATATACTGTATATACTGTAAGGCCGTAATAAGGTCTCTCGAGAGCCTTTCCTTCCCCAAGCTGAGCAACCCCAGCTCTCTCAGCCTTTTCTCACAGGAGAGGTGCTCCAGCCCTCTGATCATTTTTGTGGCCTCCCCTGTACTTGCTCCAAACAGGCCGGCATCCCTATTATCTTGGAGACCCCAGAGCTGAATGCAGTTCTCCAGGTGAGGCCTCACCAAAGTAGAGAAGAGGGGGAGAATCGTCTCCTTGTTCTGGTGTCCCCAGCATCTACTACTCATTCTCTTAGGTGTGTGCTGACAAGGTCACTTAAGCACTCTGTTTTTGAACAGAAGAGGTAAAGCATGGACTGTGGAAGTGTAATTTCCTCCTCATGTGCCTGAGGCTTGATTTGTGAAAAGCAGTTGAACAGTACATTATGAGAACAACATCCAAAGTACACAATCCCATGTCTTTTAGAGAGGCTTACTGGAAGTGATGCCAGTGAAAGCCTCTCTTCTTGATGGAATATATCCTGCAAAACAACTTCCCGAAGGACTGAAGTATAGTAATTTCTGGTTCCCTTGTTTGAATTCAAGGCATCTGACATGAGAACAACTCCTCTGTCCTGTTTCTCTAATTCTGTCCCTTTTAGTACCACATCTGTTCTATTCTCCATAAAACAAAAAGGATTTTATTCCCACAACCCGGTGCAATTTATGGTCGTGAGAAAAACTGTAGTATATTTTACATTAAAGAAGAAATTGGTTAGTGTCAGCTCCCACAAACTGGAATGTGATCAAATAAAATTGTAGCATTTTTATTAGTTGTAAAGCATGTAGATGAGAATTATATCAAAGGGCAAATGAAGCAAGAATCCTTTTTTTTTTTACAAATTTAACAGTTTTGTACAATTACCGTCCTCATGCATTTCAGTTTATCTTTGAATGTAGAATCTTTCTTCTAGTCTTATTTGAACACAGAATAATCTCAAACCCCGTGCCAATAGTGACAATTTCTTCCAGCTCTTTCAGCTGGACAAAGATATCTGCATGAAAAAGATCTCCTGGGAAAAAGTAGGAACAAAAGCTGCCATGGGTTTGGGACTAGTGAAAGTGCCAAAAAGAGCAGGGATGACAGTTTTTGGTTATCCCCCAAAATCTTTATTTTCCAGAGTGCAAATAAAGGAGGAAGATACATAGTGGCTTTCAGAGGGATGGGCATTTACGCCCCTAAGAACATGCTTTGGATTTCATCAGAGGGAAGGCCACTATTTTATTTTTTTCAGGAAAAGAGAGAGCAAAGCAGTGCAAGGAGCATTCACCAGTCTTGCACAATATATTCTAAAACACAGGAATGCCTTTAATGTCTTATATTATAAAAGTAATTATCAGAACAGGAAAGATACACAGGCTGAAAAGTGTTATATTTTTTCTCTCAAAATGTGTGCTGTTGATCACTGCTATGGACAAAAGTTACAGGTAGCTTGGCAAATAACTGGTTGTGTAATTATACTTCCAAAACAACAGGTTCTCAAAATTGGCACATCTTTCAGAAAACTCTAATTGGGAACTGATTGTTCCTGCTCCCCACCCTCCCCACTCTCCCCACATCCAAATTTGCTTCCATCTGGGGCTGCAGTTCTGTCAGTGTCAGAGATGCAGTAATTTCTAGCTCAGGAGTTTTTTGACACACAAAGCTCCTGCTTACCCTGCCAGCACATTTGCATGCATTTGGAAGGTTGGAAACTCAGATACGGCAGGCATTCAGAAGAGACTGGGTCACTGCAGTAGCCTGACTACTCTGCATGTCAGACTTTTATGTGTGGGTTTTCAAAGCCATCATGCTATGCTACTTCCTTCAGTGTTTCTGCTGCTGCCTGTACAGTGAAGGCTGCAATGGAAATTTGCCTCTTCACTTCTTCCCAGGCTTCACGTTGATCAGCTTTGATTTGAATATCAAACATGGCATCATAGATCCCTGGGAAGGATTCTCCTGCATACTTGTTGTGACTGCTTGGAGCAAAAATGACATGTCTGTGGGGAAAGAAGAAAAATATAAGTATACTTAATAAGACTGACTATTAATGGGAGGGGATGTTCATTGTAGGGAACATCTGTGAATCCCAGGAAGATCCGAGCTTACTAAATACACAGGAAAGCTAGCTGGACATATCTTTAAAAGGACAAGAGCCAGCCCCAAGGGCAACATCTATGTGAAAGGGCACAGATTTAGGTCAGGTAGCCTTCTTGGGAAGAAATGACGCATTTGTCTAATTAGAAACAAAACCATGTTACACTTTTTGAAAATGGGAGCTCAACAAACCTGTTGAACTAATTTGGCAGTCTGAAAAAGGGAATAAAACTAGTTATAGGCGTATCATAAGAAATGGAACAGAAACCTCAAAAATAACTAAGTAGCTGCATGATGGTCAGCAGATCTGGGAAAGGAATGTAAAAAGAGGGTAAAAAAACCCTATGGGTGAATTAGGAATCTTCAGAGATCAGAAGTGACCATATTGGATCAGAACTGCACAAAAAGTATTAATTTTATTTGTTCATGCAGGATTTTTTTCCTAAATAATGGATAGCTGCGTATCTTCTCTTAGATTGGTTTGATTTTAAAAACGAAATATCAAAGCACATTTGCAGCATGTGAAGGTGTCCTCCCAAATCAAAATAAACATTAAAACTATAAAAATAAAGGCAAGAAATTAAAAAAGTAAAAAAAAAAAAATCCAGACAGCTCTAAATGGTACCTAACACCCAACAAGAACTGTAGAAAGCAGCAATTTGATTCTTCCCAAAGTGTGAATGACAGTTTATCCTAGGAGGATAGAAGTGTGATTCTCAGTTCTACCTGCCTGAGGGACTTCTGGCTTGACATGAAAGACATCAATCAGTGAGTCAGATATATCCTGTCATTAGGAAAAGGGGGATACTGAGAGCAAAGTGAGGTAGTCACACACCTGACACTGGAAGCTGGCTTCTTGTCAGGTATTACTAATAAAAGCACTGAGTTTCTAGAAAGAATATAGTAGTTAATGATTTAAGCTATTCCACCTATAGAAGCAGCTAAACCTGGGACAGAAGGGACTCTGCAGCACAGCTCATGGGCCTTTATCCATCCTGTGCTGAAAGGTCCCTCCCTCTTCAAGCTCTCTCTTCTCTACTTCTCTCTTCAACTGACCCTCACTACTCATCTGTTCTCACCCTTATCTCCCTTTTACTCTACCCTCATTTCTCCTTTTTTTTGATTCTCCACTCAATCCTCATTTTGTGCAGGTTCAAAAGAGCAAGCGGTAACAGCAGTAGTACTTCACACCTGCTAGTAGAAGTCACAGAGTATGATGGTGGTGTGGTTTCACCACAGCTAATAAAAGCAGAGGGCCAGACCCAAGGAGAGGAATTTGGCACCACAAGACCGGTGTAGCCAAGGAATTCTCCTTGGGGATTATAAGCAAAATCCACTGCTCACTGGATTGTACCTAAAGCAATGTGTTGAGCTGTAATTCCTATATGAGACCTATACAGAAATTTAACTGGTGGGGGGTTCACCTGCAAAAATACAGTGCCTTAGACAGTGGGTTGAGAAATTACTTGCCTCACCTGTAAAACCTCCTTCCTGGCAAGCCCAGAGGATCAATGAAAGCTCTTTCTATCAACATCAACTGGTCATTCATGATTCTCACTGCGACTGGACTGTGGAAGATGGAGACAGAGACATTTCACACAGTGGGGAAACATGACTTCCCAGTTTCGTTTAAACACTTTTCTTCTTTTTTGGACGGAAATAAAAAAGACAAATATGGTCTACAGTTTTCAAAAAAAGATGAGGTTTTGCAAATGGAGATATTCAATACATGTTTTATTAATGCATTGAAATTTCTATGTTAGAAAACAACAAGATTTCACACTACGCAAAATAAAATGGGAAAGTCTCGGGTGTCAGATACTTGCTTAGTGTTAAATGGCATGAGAAAGATCTCAACAGAGAGCAGAGGAAGGCTGAGATTTAGGTCAAGGTGAAGATAGCTAGATTTTGATGCCCACCCATAAGTCAAGTGTCCATACTCCTAGTAACATAGTAAGGATGGGATTCAGTTGCCTAAACACAACTAACTGGTATCATACTAGGTGCCTAGGAGCACCTGGCCTCCACTCTCAGAAAGCACAGGAGTCCCGTAGGGCCCTTAGGTTTGCAAGCATCCTACAGATATCTCTGAAGCATCATCCTCTCTCCTTGAAGTGTGCTGAATGTACAAATTCTGGTATCACCTACAACACTCAAGTGTAGGTGTCTAAATACAGAGCTCAGCAGTGAAAGTTAAAGTTGGACTATCTGCCTTTCCATGTATTACAACAATTTTGATGTCAATCTGACACCTGTAATAAGCTCTACAGCTGATACTATTCATCACTGCTAATTTATCTTAGCCTGAATCAGAGTTCAAGGGCTCTGTAGAGAGACTCCTTGTGTTGTCACTTGAAAGAAAGAACAGCCACCCTTGGTACCTAAGATAGATGTACATATATGCATACACACACAAACACACACATATATATAAAACTTTTTTTCATACTTACTCTTTCTTGTCCACTTGTTCAAGTCTCCTGTGAAATTCATCAGCAGCCTTTGAGAAGTTCACCACAGAAGAAAAAAGAGGATCTAGAAAAGGAAAGACTTTGTGAACAACTTTAGAATATTTACTGAGCCCAATCTACCTTTGAGTTGCCCAGTGGGAGAAACTGGGCAATTTGTCTTGCTGATATAATAGCATTAATTTTTTTGTCTTTCCATAAATGATTAGTTTCCCTAGTGCAGACTTTAAAGAGCTGCACTACTAGCAGTAATAGACAAATATCTTGTGCAATGAGACCAACAGTAAAGCAGAATGCATGGTAAAGTTTTCACAAGTTTTCACATATTCCCTCTACCTGGCAAAGAAAAACTGGCTGGCATTACAAACTGGGAGATCTGCAGTCTCCTTTTTAACAAAAGGATGCCCTGTAGTGTTTAGGTATAAAATGCCTGACTTTCATGAAAAATATCAGCTGTTCCAGAAGGCTGTGAAGAACAGCAGGATTTCGCTCTAGGAGCATGATGTCCTATTCATAGCATAACAGAAGAGTGTGGTATGTGTATTGAACAGCATTAGGTGAGGCACAAAAGACACAGCTGTCTTGGAAGACAGTGATACACACAGTAGATTAAAGTAGCCGAGTCCTGTGGTTGCTCCATGCTGGAATTACAGCGTAGGAGGTGTCTCTGCCACAACCCCACATGCTGTCCTGCAGTGCTGCCGCGGGACTTTACTTGCTGTGCCTGGCTATGTGCAGTCATAGCTGCAGCTGTGGCAGTACTGCCCTGTCCCTGGCAGTACGTCCAAGCCATGTGGAGTAACTTAGCCAAAGAAGCAGAGGTCTTCCTGTTAATGGCAGTAGTAGCTGTGATGATTTTCTTGTGGTAGGCTCTGTTTAATACAGACCTGTGAAAATTATCAATTTATACAAGTAATTTTTGTAGAATAAGTAACAGGGGGATATTATGAGGAGAACTTCTGGCCCCACCAAAACTCAACTCAATTACAAAGAAGGAAATTTTATACCTTGTACATTTTGCCCACAAGTTTTAGAAAATTAGATAAACCAGAGCATCCTCTCTTTGATTATACAGGAAAATAGGACATAAGATTAGATCATCTCCTAAATTCAGTCCTCTGCTGGCAACTATTATCCCTTCACCGTTTATAAATTCAACACCCAATTTCATGTGACATGCTTTCTGTTCCCAGGACTCCTATTGAAAGCTTTTCTTCAGTCTCATTTGCTCTTCTGTTTCTAGCAAACTTATTTATTCATCATGAGCCTACACTTTCTTCTTCTTGTATTAATATTGTTGTTTAGTTTATGCAATTAGAGACACAGATTTTATGTATGCAATTTGTTTGTGGGCTGCAGCATGGAGAGACCCATATCACCTTGAGAGGGTGAGAATTCACACTTGTCCACAACTGTGGCAATAGCTATAAGTTTGCCAGAGGACAGAGGACAGAGTTCTGCCCTGCTGACATCATGGTTATATCGCAGCAACAGATTATATTTCAGAAGCAGTAGGAGGGGATTTAAGAGGGAAAAAAAAAAAGAGAGGTCATCTGAAAATATGTAAGAAACTTTGTGTTCATGTTCGCTAGCTATTCAGTGTTGTCAGTATTGGTTATCTTAGAAAATATCACATTTCTTTTTCCCCCAAACTTTATTTCCTGATAGCATATTACTACAAGCACATATTTTATGAGAAAAGTTTCTAGCCTTCATTGTTGCAGAGGAACAGCTGAAATGTGAATCCAAAGGCAAATAAAGCCCTTAATCTATTATTTTAAAGGACAATTATGTGATTTATTCTGGTTTAATTAACAATTTTCTGACATTCAGTGTTGTCAATAAGCAATTCTATGACAATGTTGAGTGAAATGAATTTTAATTTTCACAGTACTGTAAAAGCTACCTATGCATTTTAATGCACTCTGATGCAATAGAACAAACAAAAAATTAGAAATTATAGTTTCATTCAAGAAATAAATTAAAACTCAACAAGCATGAGAGAAGAGACATGAAAATAATGAAAAGACTGAAAAACATGCCTTGCAAAGAAATGGTCAAAATTACACATTGATAAAGCTGTTAAGGAGATGTTTAGTGGTATTTGTGTAAAAAAAAAAAAAAAAAGAAAAAAGCTAAAAAAATATTGCCTCTACATTCTAGGAACAAGAATAGATACATTGGTTAGAAGGTAGTTTGGTCAACTTCTAATATGAAATAGAGAAAAAAACAATGAAAATAAATTATTTCACAAAAATTTTAGTAGATGTTCTATTACTACAAAAAAAATTTTCAGATATGCTGAAATATGCTGCAGTGAACACTAGACAATATTGAAATAAATCCCTGTGTTATGCAGAATCTCAGACTAGATGATCCATCACACAAGGCTTTCTCTGTATCCAGAGGCCTTTTTACAAAAAGGGGTGTCTTTTAAAAACAGTCAAGAATTTTTCACCTAAACCATTACATCAAGTTTTAAATATCATTTTTAATTATCCCCAAAGGTGGATTCAATTTGAGTTACTTCTAATGCATAGTCCAAAAGAGGACTGCATCTCCAAAAAGCTAATATATGTCTCTAAATTATTGGTCCATCAGATGGCAAGTGAATTAGGACTGACTGAAAAATCTCCTTAGTACAGAAACACAAGAAGTTAACAAGGCAAGAAGGAGAAAAGAAGAAAGAGAGAGAGAGAGACAGAAAACTACTGTGGAAGCCATCATAGCCTGGGACCCAGAGCACTCTGCTGCTTCAGACCTGTTTTATATGCTGCAGAGAAATGTGTTCAAGTGCTTAGCAAATGGATGTATTGATGCAGGAGAGCTAGTGAAATGCTTCTGTGGCCTAAAACTGGTAGCCATGCACTGAGGCAGATGGTAAACAAGTTCCCTGGAGGTCAGATGAAGTCTTTGACGCAGGAGGAGCAGGCACCTGTGTCTCTCAACTTCCAAGAAATCACCATAAGCATTTAATTTGTCTTCTTTTTTAAGCAAGAAAGTGAAAAGCAGGCTGAGATATCTCTCTATTCTGCATCTGAGGTCCCTGACTGCCCATGAGCACCTTAATAATACCTATATTTAATAATATGCATGAAATTAGAGGCTCTTTCTTATGATAGCAAAATTCAAACAGGAAAATAAGGAATTCATTTGCAGAGCTGTAACAGATATGACATGCCCCTGCATGATTCTAATTAACATACATAAGAGGCAGTCTTGTGGCTATTACTCACCAAATGACACTTTGTAAAGTTTCAGCTTTTCTTCATGCTTCTTGGCCAATTTATACATTCTGTTGCTATATCCTTTTAAGGCTTCTCCATAATCTCTACAGTCGAATGGAATGACCTGGGAATCTGCCAGTTCATAAACCAGTTTTCCTCGTAGCTGGGCAATTGTTAGCTGTTTCTTGAAAGTGGGGTCGTAAAATTTTTCCACTAGTTCAAATGTCTCATACCCAGTGTGATAAACAGGATAATTGCTGAATTTGTCTGCTTTCTGGAAAAGATCAAGGAAATTTGTCAGTGCTCTGTATTCTGACTGCAGTTAAGAGATGTATTGATCACTTAATGACTACGATGTTTCATACAGTGTCCAAAACAAAAACCCTATTTGCCACACAATACAATTTTCTATTCTTCATTTTTATTTGGTCATCTTAAGAAACTAAACCAGTCTTCCTTCTCTCTACCTACACAGACCTGTCTTCAGTTCCGTTGCACAGAGATTGCCTTCACCAAGAGTGAAAACAGTTTTGGGTTTTGGATAGCAAAAGTCCTCAATCACAGCCCCTTTTTACCTTGCATAGCTATTTCTGAACACAATCATGGAAGACTTGTATATTAAAAAGTTTACTAATAGCACGGTGAAATGAACTGTATACCTTCAATCAAATTCTATAAATACCTTTCTGTGAACTTGACATCCTATAGAATATACAACATCATTGTAACATGTTTTCTTCTACAGACATTTAGGTTTCTTGCTAAATTAAGAAATGGCACTGATATACAGTCCAGTCAAAGATGCTTTGAAGCTTGTTTATTAATTCTGAATAAATGCTTGTTACAGGATGACTGCTCAGCACTATCAAAAATTTTCAAGCAATCTGGCAGACTTACCCTATTTTTGGTGTAACGAGCTCTGCCTGATGCAATTCCCAGTCGCTGAAAGTAAGCTTCAAAATCACTGCCTGACCCCAGTTTATTTATTCTACATGTAGAAAAGACAACATCTTAGTGAAAGCATTTACTGAACAGTAGCAGTAATTTATGCAAAATGCAGATTTTTCAGAGAAATTGAGGTCTGTTCTTCTGGAGGGCACATCAGGGACACTGGTAAGATCAGAGACTAGATGAGTGGCAAGCTTAATTACTTAACTGATTTTATTCCAACATGCTGATTCAGTATTCAACACTGCTAGGAAGATCTTTTGAAGGTAGAAATCCTGATTATGACACTGACCACATTTCAAAAAACAAACAAACAAACAAACAAACAAACCCCACACACATTATGCACGGGAGACATAAAATTGTATCAGACGTGTCTCTGCCACCTTAAAACATCAATCAACTATTTCCAAACTAATATGAATTGGGCAGAAATATGTGTAAAGACAGATGTGTTTATGTGCTTGGCACATTCCGCAGGAGAATCCAAGACTGATAAATTAATTTCCACTGCAGAAAGTGATCGGAATTGGTACCTACGGGTCACTACTGCCATCTGGTGGGGAGATGTGGCATGACAGGGACAGAAAATGGCAGTAAAGACGCCTAATATTCCAAGGATCTTCACATATTTACGTTTGATATTAAGTTTTAGGTTTATATGTCTAGCCTGGTGAATAATTTGTGTTTCTCAGCTAAAAAAAGAAGTTTCTTCTGCTCCAGATGGAGTTCTTCTGTTAGTATAAACTTCTGCAAGGAACTAACTGTATCAACTGAGAAAGATCAGATCTGGTAGCTTTTTCAAAAGGAAGAAATCTCAATGAGTCTCATGAATCCAGAAACTCATCTTAGCAGGGCCAGAAACATGCAGGATATTTTGGTCAAATCAGACAGAGGGGCAATTCTGTTTACCTTATGTGAGTAATGCTGCACTGTGAAAAAGATTTAGCCCTCTGAGTCACAGGCTGAAAGACTGATGAGGACTTTTAGTACTTTCAAATATGAAGTTTTAATACCCTCATATATAGATTTGTAATTTAATACATTTATATCCCCTGTGTAAACAAAGAGTAATTATCAGAAGTTTTTTAATGGTCGCTTTTCAATTACTGCTCTAGGCAGCTTCTTTCAACTGAGCATTTGCTTATCCTAACAATTTTATCTCATCTAGTTGGTGACTAAACTATTTTTGAACTCTTTCCCCACCCTGCTTTTTTTGATTGCTTTCCAAATTGCTTTTCTACTAATTAAAAGTATGAGATTTCATAATGTTATCATAATTTTTTTTAAAAACTTATTTTACCATAAAAGATATTGCTAAAATTCACCTTACGCTAAAAGGTTTTGTACTGCTGTCATAAATAGCACATCTCAAAAAATTCTGAAGAGTAGACATGCTATGATATGATAAAATATTGGGAGAAAAAAACCCCAACAAATTAAAATCTTACCTTGGATAGCTATTATTTTCAGTTCCAGGGTCTTTCTCAAGCCAGCTCTCATAAAGAGACTTATTTGCATAACCCTCATCAGGGCTTAAAATCTGGAGAGGAAAATATTGTAGTCTCATTGGAAGTACCTCTAACTCAATTCATTGTCAAAGGAGCCCTTTACAGCCACCTGCATCATTCTTTACCGACAGTATTACTGCATGCAGGGAAGTACACGTACACTGTTTACATTTGTGACACATATTTATGGATCCCAACCACAAAAAGCATCTCACAGGCACTTGGAACCAACCACAGGCAGTAGGGAAAAGCAGGTTAAAGGATACTAGCTAGAGCTTATCTGCTACTGGAAGACGTGGATTCTAGGACTTCTTACCACCTTATAGCACTGTGTATGTACACACACAACAGCATATATAATACTATGAGACTCTTCCAGCAGCCAGGATGCCCCAGCTGCTCTCCTTTCTGCAGGCAAGGGGAGATGACAGCCATAACCCCGTGGAGGTTTGCCCTGCACAGCAGCAATATTCTCTCAACAAGGCTAAACCTAAAATTTGATTGATTTTTCTATAGGAAAGTTACAAAAGAATTGTGCTAGAAGGAAGGGTTCAAACCAGTCATATTACAGCAGTGCCAAGGGGACTCAACCAAGACTGGAGAATCATTGTGTAAAACATTGTATGTACAAATGCAGGTCTCACCCTTACCTTCAAAAAACCAAAAAGCTCTGTAACCAGGATGGAAAAGGTAAATATTAGTGCAGTCATCATGCTGCCAGGAAAACTATGAAAGTGTGTAAAATTAGTTGACCAAAGCTCTTACAAAATCTGAGGCAGAGGTAAAAATAAACCAAGACTCCAGCCTTGGTCTCCATCTACGCTTAAACAACCTTTAATAGACATGGTCCTTTAAATATAAGGTTGCTTATGATGTATAGAGGATTGGGATTTTTTTTCCAAAATCCAAAGCATAAATGTTCATAGCTAGATACATGGCCCCACCATATTATTGAGACTTAAATTCTGCATTGAAAAACATACAGACTCCAACTTGAAAATCCAAACAGTTCTGACCTCTGAGATGTTGTCAGCAGCTAGCAGAAAAATAACAACTTTGTGAAATAACTGCTTGGCTGCCATCATTTTCAGGGCACTTTGGTTAAGTCCTAGGGCTAAAATGAAAACAGCACATTAATAAGTGCAAGCTGAACTCTGACATATGGGAGCAAAAGCACTCCATGCTCTGTCAAAGATATTATTCTGACGCATCTGGTCATGTAAAAACCTTTGCCCAGCTTCTTCATACAACACTGAGAGCATAGTAAAACATACTATTTGCCCTGACTTAGATCCAAATCTAGAATCAGCATAAGCTTCCTGCTACCTCAAGGAAGATGCAGAGTTCTTTAAGTATAACTGAAACAGTGATGATCAGAACAGGGGAATTGAAATTGAGCTATTGCAGACACTGTCTGGTGATGACCAAATGTCTAAACCCTAGCAGTGGAGCAAGGCCAAAAAAGACAGTCAATGGCTAAATGTACTACCTGTTTGCAGAGGACCACAGTTAAATGCAGAACTCCTTGAAAGAGAACACTTCATGTGTACACTACATTTCTTTTTGGTGAGAATTGGCTCACTAAAAAATAAGAAGATCAAAGAGATCTTTGGATTTTGGACTGTTTAATATGAACAGAAATAACTTTCCTTTGGACATGCATAATCAGATGTCAGGTTGTCAGGTTTTGTATTGTTTACATCATGCTTCTACAGTTAAAAGTTAACATAATACGGAATAGGAATTTTTTTTTAAGTCAGTCTTAAGTAATTTGCATGGTACTTTAATGGAAATTTTCTACTCAAACCAGCAATAGTTGAATAGCTGACTTAAGATCAAGAATGAGGTACTATTTTTAGTCCAGAGCACCTTTTTTAACTTTGTTTATCTTTTGCAGGAAAATGTCTTCCTGGGTAAGTGGCTTGCTGCAGACAGAAAGTAAATTATTTTATCCAGGGCCTGCAGCACTAAGGACATGAACATTTTTATATACAAAAGAGAATGCCCTTCAGTGTGCAAAGTGTCAGAGCTAACATCTGAATAAACATCGCTTCTTCCCCTGCAAGTATGAAAGAAAAGGTTAAGATAGAAAGAATTTATAAGAAAATAAAATGTAGAAAAGAAAAGAAAATCATAGAATGGCATAGATAAACCTCCCCTGATCCAAACCATGCCATTTCAAGTTTTAAAAGAGTAACGCTTTTGCAAATAACTCAGGATGAATGCATCTAGTGGTATGGGAGACTGGTAGCTGGAATCATCCTACCAAGTGCAATCACAGTGCAGATTTTTATACTGGACCAAGCCACCTGAGTTCCCTTCATATCAGGGGAAAAAATAGTTTGAGTTCTGTACATCCAAAGGTGGAAAACCACATTTGGTCAAATGAATCTCATCCTAAAGGCACTTATTTCTACCCCGTGCCTTTAAAGGGAGCCTATGTTGCTTAAGTCAGTCAGAGATGTGTTCTGTTAACTGAGATGAATGTAGATCTGAGGATAGTGGCAATGACTCATGCTAGGTGCCTCATCTGGTGAACTCCTCATACAGACAAGGAAGTTCCATACTTTAAAGGATCACAACCTTTCAGCCTGATGAGAATTTATTCTGAGAGCTGAAAGTAAAGAAGACATGGTTAGACCACTTGTAATCATGCAAATATACACGTCTGGCCTGTTACAAACCCTTCTCAATCCTTCAATTTTTATTACATATTTCAAAGGCTCAGTGAGATATGAAGGAGATTTGGGGGAACAGACACAGAGAGAAAATGGTAGCTAGCCAATATGAAAATTATTTCCTTCAGTGCTTATCACTTTAGAGAACTGATCTTGCCCAATGTTTTATCATCTTGTTTTTATTATGATTGTTTTTACTATATATTGAAATTAAGATTCCACTTATGTCAGTGACACATTTCAACCTTTAAGAATACTGAGGAACTGTGAGCATGCACTATTTACTGCTGATGGGATGTTTTGCTATTGATTTTGGTGGGATCAAGATTCTTCTGGCACAGCAATAAAATAAATCCAATATTATTAGATAATTCTATTTTATCCAATAAACTTACAGTTTTACATTCTTAGAAAGTCAGAAATAGTAGACACTGATTCTGTACCTCTTTTGTCAGATTATACACCAGTTTGTAGAGAAGAGGGGTGCAGTCAACTCTTAATGTGTAGTTCCCTGAAAATAAAACAAAGACACGGAAGTTTTCCCTTCAGGTACCAGTGGCATTATCTTCTTAATTGATTAAACCCTGCAGTCCTTTCTTAGATAAACTTATGGATTCCAAGGCAAGAATTTAGATCTTGCCTCAGAATATATACAGAAATAGATTACTTGGTCACACCGTATGAGCTCCTGCCACTGCCTAACAATGATGGATTGGTTATAGTACATACACAGGAACATAATTAAGCCTTCCCATAGTTCTAAAACATGCCTAACTCTCCCTCATTAGCTACAAGCCCTTGTCACTCATATGCTTCCTGAAGCTTGTGTTAAACAGAAGGCAAAAAATAAGATGTTAGAAATAAAGCTAGTGCTTTCAGGAAGTGTGCAAGAGGAAAGACATTTGCTACAAGAAGTTTTAAGAAATCTTTCAATTCAGCTACTTTTCTTACCACAGACAGTACTTTTTCAATGCTTTTGCAGACTCTATCTACAAGACAGGTAGAGAGTTGCAAGATATCTGGCATTTTATATTTCAGAACTAAGTCTGGCCCAAATAGTAGGCAAAAAAGATGCAGAGCAATGTTTTCTTCTGTCTCCTAAACCTCCCCTTTTACCATCACGTGGTGGCATCTACCCTTTACCCCCATCAGGTTTCCATGCTGGCTACTTACCATTGAGCTCGGTAAGTACCGCATAGCAAAGTTCTCAGCTACAGCAGCAACAGTCCCATCAAAAGGAACTATGGCCATTTTTGGGATAGGCAGAAGTCTAAAGCAGTCTTCTCTATAGACTGCAACCACCCAAGAGTAGTGAACAAACACCTCTGCCCTCAAATACAGACAACAAAGAAGGGAACAGGGATGAAAAGGCTGCAACATAAAAAAAACCACAAGCTCTCAGACAACAGTTATTAAGTTATTGTTATTGTTAGTAATTAGTTGTCAGTTATTAGGTTTTGATATGGCTTTAGATCTTGGGTCACACTTTGCATAGTGTGTACTTACATATCATGTTCTAGGACCAGACTGACAATTACAAAAAAGTCCATGATGATAGAAAAAATACAAGATAATGTTAATGATGTTTCCAAAAGGAGTCTGTATTTGAGAGCTGTAAATTCAAGTCATGAAACTGTTCAAAATTATGAACCCCTCTCCTTCTTTTCATTGCTATAAGACAATAAAGAGAAATAATTTGCTGTCCAAAATGTGGTATAAGTGCTGTGGAAAACATTTGATGATAAACAAAATAATCATCAGAGTACATGAATGCTATGACTTTACAGTAGATTTTACTGCTCGGTCAGGTGAAAGATATCCAAGATACTTAAACCAGTGTACTTAACATGGTGTTCTTTTCCTTATTACATATTTCTTTTCCAGTTGTTTTACTTTCATATTTTCTTTAATGCATAAAGCAAGAGACATGTTTGAATAATCAAGATTTAGAAGAAAATTGTTAAGGCAGCAGTATGTTGGCTGCAAACCAACTAAAAAAATATGTGTTACAATCCATGCTGAGAATCTGAAGCAGTTGTAAAGCTATTATTTCATTTGTGAGATCTTCTAGGCGTGAAATTCTGCTCTACTTTTTACACAGCCTGTAGGCTGCATAAATGAAGGAACAGCTCTAACCCTCCTTATTCCTCAGCTCCAGCTGAGCCTTTAGAAACTGGGTTTGGCTTTTCTTTCTTTCCAATCCTTTTTTGATGGACAAAATTTTCAGCTGACAGAAATAAAAAGAGTTCTTAAATATGCCTGTTGATAACCATTTTAGTCACACACAGGAAGCCCAAATAAGTTGGGTTTGACATGAGAACATTAATGCCTTGAATAACTTGATGTTATGATGCAGAGCAGCTTCACAGGACTCTTCTAACTATTCTTTCAGCACAGACAACAGTAAAAGAGGTCCTTCGGTAATAAAGCCCAGGATTTTGTCATTTAGGTTGTAGTGTAGAGCTCCCCAAAAAGGCCAGTTTGTAAGTAGCATTCCTGAAAGACAGATTCTTGCAGTCTGAAGATCATAGTAAATGGGATAATGGTGGATAAGGTTTTTTGTGAAACACTCTTCAGTGCCTATTTTTGAAGAAGAGCTCCGCTATAATATATATGTAACTCCCTGATCACAGCAATGAACAAAGATAACCACACTGGCCTGAAACACTAAATTATCTCCCACCTCCATCAAGCGTAAACCTAAGGTCTCGATACAAATTGTCTTATAAACACAATAAATTAGTGTCTGAAAATATTATGATTCCACAGGGAAAGGAGTTGGAGCTGTGACCAGAACAAGGAGCAGACTGTCATATATCAAAACCATGACTGTAAATTAAAGCTAATGCAGTTAAGAGAGAGTTTAATATACAGAACACTCAGTTAGCACAGAACACAACACTCAGCCAGAGGAGACATTCTGGACACATGGACTGCAGCTCAAGGATGGTACTATTTGCAAAAGAAAGCAACACGAGAATTTAAATTGTTCTCTCTTTTCTCCACTAAATTCTGTATTTACTACACTTATTCTGAACATCGCTACACCTATCTTATGTTTTCCAGCTCTGAATGCAATAAATAATACAGAGAAAACTAATAAAAATTATGCTTTGGAAGTAAGGTAAATTTAAAAATAAAAGACCCACCTTCTATAGAAGAATCTGTGTTGATGTAAGCAACTGCCCGTTCCTGAAGGACTTTGGCATTTTCCTGGGGTTGTAAATGTGTAATTGTTACTTTCAATTAGTGACATTTAGTGAAGAGCAAGTTAAGTGCACTATTTCTTAAAGCATTGCCTTTAGAACTCAGTCAGGATAAATACTACTATGTACCTTACTAATTATATTGTTTGAAGATGGGTAAGTGATCTTGGCATATGAAATTCACTCGTACTTTCTGTGACTTAATTTGTTCTGGAAAATATCCACAAAATGAAGGTTCTGCCTGCTGCATCACACAGGAGCAAGATGGAACAAGAAAATTATTGAACAGAATTGTAACACGATAAAATAAGGCTGTACATGCTTTTTAACTCTGCACTTCGGGACTTTTTTGAACGTGCAACATGTCACTGAGAGATCAGCCAGAATTCTTCCATGCTTTTAATTCCTAGTTATTCATGTGTGCTCCCAGCACTAAATGCAATTTTAACACTGATGAACTGAGCACTGCTGTCATTTCTACACTATTCCATTTCAAAAAGGGATGAGTCAAAGCACTAAAATACCTTATTAAAATGAAGATGACTATTTTGAGTCCACAAAGAATTGCTTTCATGCGAAATATATACACACATCTTGTTTAATTTTTTGCAAACTGGTAATTATGTTTGAATTGATATTCTAATCAGTATTTTATTAAGTCTTGGCTTTGTGACAGATATTTTAATTAGGTTAGTAATTGTTACTCGATTCATTCAATTTGTAACCCAAATAATCATTTGTAAGTCACGTGAACTAAAAATTGATTTGGTAATTGATAAATAGATAATGACATTAATATCTTTAAAAAAACATAGAGGAGATCCCACAAAAGAGTACGAAGGGAGGGAGTGAGCCTGTACATGCATACATGAGGTCTTGCAAGTCATATTAGCAGCATAAAGAAATTCCTTCATTTATGAGCAGTGGAGATTGTCTGTATAACAAAAGGATGTTGCCACAGTTGCAATTTTTCTCTTACACAGAAGGCAGTGAATACCATGGGTTAATTTTCCTCAAGATTTAATACATGACAGATCTGGCAGCTGCAGACAATTAGAATGTAAGCTGTGAGGAATGTCTCTAGAGAAACTGAATCTAATTTAGTTGTAAAAAACTAGTAATGCACATCACCAAGATAAAGTAAGGAAACAATAATATCAAAACACTGAGGTTCAAATATGAACTGTGCTTATGGTTTTCTAACCTTGTACAGCTGTTGTTTCATGAAATAATGAGTGATACATTACTAGACACCAAATTATTAAGCAAAAAAATTACAGAACAGTAGTAGCAATATTTAACAAATTGAACATAACTCCTAATTTATTCATTACTTACTCAAGAGAAATTGATCTTTTAAGTACCATTTTTTCATATTTCTCAGAGTTAAAACAATTATGTGGGGTTTTTTCTTGACAACATCTAAATATGCACATAGATATGTAGACAAAGAAACAATAAATACAGTTTCATATGCAGGTGGGATAATACTTCAATGCCAACTCTTTAAAATCTCTCAGTAAATGATTTAAAATAGCTGAAATTATTCTTTCTTCATCTAATGTCCCATAAACCAACAGTAAGATGCAGAGACTGTTACAGCTGGAAATCAAACAGTTTATGGGAGAAAGAATTAGTTCAAATTCATAGGAATAGAAAACTTAGCTTTGCTCACAGTATGATGGAATCCCTTTGCTGTTTGAGAGCATATTTCTGGGTTTGTTCCCTCCTCTGATGCGTGCCATTTTGCAGTATAATTTTGTGGTTTACTGAAATACATGACAATAAACTAAACTAAAAAGATTAAAATGTTTTATTTTATAGATTTTGAAAGCTCTATCCACATATACAATTATTACCTTGTAAATAAATTTCTAATAGAAGAAAAAAACACATTTCTCTTAAACTGTTCAGTACTAATAAATGGAAATAGTTCAGCAGAAATATGTTTTATTAAGCAATTTTCTGCCTGCTCTATTTCCAACTTGGATTTTACAGACAAAGCAATGACAACTCTTGTAAGACCTGTATTTCTTATTGGGTTTTAACAAATCCACTTACAAGGTTAAGAATTTAACATGCCCAACAGGAAAAAGAAGAGAAAAATAGTCTGAACCTCACTTCTGAATTTCCCAACATCCTTCTATGAGGCAGGAATATAGCCAGGGATCCATCTACAGAATTAATAAACTGTTCTGCTCCTGAGACTCTACAATGCTGGAATTAACAGGAATTTTGAAATATTCACTTACAGATTACCTATCCTTTATTTGCCCAGGAGGACTGATTTCCATACAAAGGGCTTGGGGTGCTTATGGATCATAAGTTCATGATCTGGACTTAATTTTATAAAAACTAAGGAATTTCTCAAATAGAGAGTTAGAGAACAGACCAATTTGGGTTATATAAAATGCTGTAATTCTGTTAAATGAAGGAGTAGATTTCCACATAGAGACCACTGAGGGACATTAACTTGGAATCAAAGTAGATTTTTAAGTCTTAGAAGAGTTAGTACACATAAATTGTAAGAAGGTAAGTAAGTAATTGATATAAATACATGAGTGCCTTACAGCACCCAAAGAAGCCTGCTGTGCTCCAGTTTTACCATGAAGCACTTGACTGCAGTCTAGGAATAGATGCTGGGTACTGCAGCTGCCTGCAATACCCTTTCAAGTTTTACTTTACTTTACACTATTTTTTATTTACCTCAGCCCACTCTGTGGAACCCAATAATCCAAATTCTTCTGCATCCCAGCTTGCAAAAATAATAGTTCGCTTAGGTCTCCAACCTGCAATCACATAGTTAAACTTGAAAATTCAAGTTAAAATTTGAAAGTCTAGTAAAAGATCACCACAGTTAATTGAAATTCCTTTTAAAAATATCACTTAACTGATATAACAGTAAAAAAAATCCTCTCTTAGTTCCTTAGAGGAACATATTATTGCAGAGGCATTTCTTCTTAATGCAATATTTTTATTCTACACAACTAAGAGGGGACTATTACATTGATGAGGAAATAAATTCAGCCAACTAAGATGCAATGCTACATATGCACCTCTTCAACAAATTTCCATATTTCATAATTAGAAATAAAACTTTCTCTAGAAGTGAAAAGTTAAATAACTACAACAATTTACAGGAACAGTGTTCCTCAAAGCTTCTGTTTTCTATATCCATCATTTTATGTCTGTAATAATTGTTACCTTCCATCTTCATTTTACCAAAACTTCGTACAATTTCTTGCAGAACAGCTGCACCCGTAGTTGGATCAATACCACCAAATACCCAAGAGTCTCTGTGACCACCTAAAATAATATATCTGTCTGGAAACAAGCATATGATATCAATTCATAATTAAAAATTCACTTGGGTTATCTTTGGTGTTTCCTTTGATTGCATCCCTACTTGTATCAAACAAAATATGAAGTTCAATACCAGTGTTACAATTTTATTTCTTAGGTAATCTGCAGTCACTTACTCTACTGAAATATACAACTGAAGACAAGAAATATTTAATAGATATTTTTCCACCTAAAGGTCTTTCATGTATATGACATATGATATATAGTAGAATCTTAAGGTCCCAAATCATCACTAGTTTTCTGTACTTTGCATTGTGTTTATTTTTGCAAAGGCAAAATGTATGAATGATGTAAGGAGAAGCCTACTGTAAAATGACAGGCATTATAAAAAAATTCTCTGACATCTATCTTTCTGGTACTCCCATTCAAATATATTCTTGGAAATGCCAATGATAAACAGTGTAAAGGGAGGGAGAGAGCAACTATGAAGGATTACTTAGATTCCATATTATCTAGCCATCTAAAAAACTTTCTTACAACAAAAAGTTTCTTACAACATGAGAACAATTTCATCAAACACAAAATAAAGAAAGAATTAAAATCATGAAGCACCCAATGCTCACCTGGTTCCATGGCTCCTCTGAGGATGCCAATGACATTGTAAATTCGTGTTATTTTATTGCTTGTATGAACATGCATTCTGACTTTTCTGAAATGAAAGGCAGTATGGAGTAACCATTTCTGACTGAGAAGCCAATAAAAATTCAATGCTAATAACATATAAGCCAAAGAGTTTGTGCTTCTGTTCTGCTTTGTGTATTCAGCACTAGTCTGATGTGTGTTCATTTGTCTCAGTGTGCCATTTTTTATTTCAGCTTAACCTGCTGTGCTGACAGCAGAAACAACCCTATGAAGTGGGCCAATCTATAAATTTGTAAATATTTACAGAATTTATTGAATTTTTATTTGTGGGAATCAATTAGACAATTTGGTACTAGAGGAGTAAACTGAAAAACATGCACAGTAATTAAAAATACATTTATTTTATATTTTGATCAAAATTATAGTTGTGGATATACATATTTTTATAAAGAATACACTTTGGTTTTCTAGTACAATTCCATTAATAAGATAGAATGTGGGGAAAAGGTCATTAGGAATATTCATCCAGGAGTAAATTGAAATCTCTGTTTAGGACAGCAGATCTAAGTGATCAAGATTTGTCAGTTGTAGAATTGTAGAATCGTTTGGGTTTGCAGGGACCTTAAAGATCATCTAGTTCCAGCCTCCTAGCTGTGGACAGAGAACCTTCCAACTAGAGACAGGGAACCTACTAGAAGTACAGTTTACTTTTTCCCTGCCCCCTCAGTAAAAACTCTTCACCTCTGCCCCCTCCTCCCCAGTAAATTCCACTTGTGAAATTTTATAAAAGCAAAGGAAATGTATGTTTTAGAAGAGATAAAAATAATGTAATATTCAGCCCTCTTAATTCATAGAAGAAACAAAGCACCAAACAATGCTTTTTTTGGGTCTGGCAAAACCTCCAGAGTTTCACATTTGAAGTTATCTTTTCAGTAGCAAATCTGCATAGCTGTCAAAATCAAAACGTACTTCAGGACAGCCACTGGATCTTTGCCCAGGAAATAACTGACACTAGTGCTTTGAACATGCATATACTTGCACACTTTCCATGTGCAAGTGACTTTTCCCAGACTCAAAAGGTTCATTTTGATATGGAGCTACTCTGAGAAAGGACTATGTAGGATTAGACCATATTTACTAAAAATGTGACCCTCACAAGTAGGACGATGTTAAGAAGTGCATTCAAAAATATTTCACGTGTATGAGTTTTGTGGATGAATCAGATTGTTTTCTCATTGCTGCTCTTCAAGATATTCCAAACAGCACATAATTATGTCAAATATGCTTTCTTATTTATTTATTCCTATTTTATTTATTTTCAACTAGTATTAAAGCAGAGCAGGAAAGAATAATGGCAAATGCAGTCTACAAAATTACATATTCAGACATACTCTTGTTTTTCAGGAGATTTGGTAGTGATAATGACTGTTCAGTGTGATCCACTACCAATCCTAATAGAATGATACCTCATGTAAACTGAAATTATTTTTTGTGTAGAAAAGTATAGAAAAGTGATCTTTTGCTTTATTACAAATTATTGCCAAATGCCATTGTCATGTGTCTTGGTCTGCTAACTTATCATCATTTATTATCTAATTTTTTTCAAATTCTAAAATTTATCATCAAGTGCAGCCCACTCTGAAGGAAGTAAATTTCTCCAGAATATCTCTAGATGTATTGTTTCACAGTTTTTCTCTTGTAGGGATTTTTTTTCAATATTGTATAAACAGGTAAGTGTTCAAATAGACCTTGTAGAAGAGTTGCCTGTGAATCCTGGCCCTATGTTATAAGACACATTGAGACTTCCCTTCCAGCTGCTGTCTGGAGCTGCAGGTCCTCCCATTGCACTGTAAAGTGAAAACCAAGACAAATGCAGTTGAACAGTAGGGTAAAATCTTAAATTCCCTTAATAATTATTGCAGTAAACCCAAGGTGGGTTTACAAAATTCTGAAAAGCATTATTGCAGAAACAGGTTGTTTTGAATTTTCCACATTTCCTGAAAAACACATTTACTAAAAAAAGTAGTATGAATGCAAATAACAGCAGAGATTTTACCAGAGTGAGGAGAACTGATGTACACTCACCTCAATAATAGTTCTGCATCATGATATCCAATGGGGTGAACCGGGATTCTGGGAATCCCTACACCTTCATTAACTTTATACCTGAAAGTGTACTCTGAGAAACCAGAACAAAATGTCAAGTTTATAGTGTTCTTAGCAACTTTAACCAAACTGTAAACACTTTTGAACAGTGCAGCCACACAGCAGCCACGAGCATTCATCATTCTTTTCAATTCTTTCATAATTTCTCAGACATTACTTCTAGGAAACCAAACTGAAAGGGCAGAACCACAAACCCAGTGATGCACCTGCACAATTGCGCAAAAAAATCTCCACATTTAGATTTGTTGTCCATCCATATTATTACGTCTCCTCAAAGCTGGCTAAGGGAAAACCAAGCTGGTGTGTGAGGTGAAGATGGCACTTGTGCAACTGTTTAGCAAGCTGCAGAAGACATCCCCAGATACGCTTGCCTATGGTGAAGACAGGCAATGTCTCTCTGAGTCTGGCGGGAGAGGCACACACAATCTATCCTGTTTTTTCAGCAGGTTGTCTTATGCACCCAACAGTGTTCACACAAGCTTTCCAGAAGCCCCCCTGTATACCCATCCCATCAGCAGACCGCACTGGTAGGCATCTCAGTTCAGAAGAAGTTTTGGGATGCCAACAAGGACAAGACAAGCATATGGTGCCAATATTTGAAAGACTCCAGGCAACTGTTACTTTTACTATTAGAATTTTACTCCCTGTAAGGAGGATTTTAAACTGCTTTTCTGCTTGGAATTTATGATCAGCAAGAAAACATACCTCCAAGCAAAGTTATTAGTCCTCTTTGATGGTAGAGTATAATCTAGTTTAAACTGGTCATCCTGAGAAACACAGATATTTAAAAATGACTAGAAATTCTCAGTCGTTTCCTGCTGCTTCATAGTCTGTAAACCTGCACATCCTGCCTTTCTAAGATAATTATAAGCCTGGGATAAACAAAGAGATTTTCCTGAAGTTTTTTCCTAAAAGCTTTCCTTCCCCACCTAGGTCAAAAGCAACCAATTAGAATGGTACACAGGCAGAATTTAGTCTGCAATAGGAAAATTAACTACTGCTAAAAATAATTTCTAGTAGCTTTTTTCTCTTCATCTCTACTAAAAATAAATGAATTTCTAGTGCCGTACTTTCGACACCAGTTTATAAAGTACTTGATGGCCCAGGTTACGGAAGTTTCACTCACCTTTGGCAGGATAACCTGGTGTCAGAGGGTCCCCAGCTCCATTCAGGTTTAATACATTCCCACGCTGAACTCCCCCACCTGGAAGGTTCCAGCCACCTGGATAAGCATCTGTTCCTGGGGCACAGTAGTCAGCAGGGTCTGAATAAAGTATGATCCCTTGGGCTCCTGCTAATATGGCATTTTTAACCTGTGAAATTATTTACTTTTAAGAAATGTCTCCTTTATTTTTTTTTCTTTTTGGTCAATGCAGTGATAAATCTGAATGTTGCAATTTGCTTCCATGCAGACATAGTTTTAGAAGTTGTGTGTGTAGTAGAGTGAAAATGACCCTAGATTCAGCAGAAGTACAAACCACAGTGAAACACACTGTTCATTATTTGTGTTATACATTTAGTCATAGCTCAAGGCTATGAAATAAAGTACAGGATGTAAAACTGAGGCACAAAAACTGACCACTAACCTTACTGCCCCACTGTCACCCGTTTTGTCAGAGTTGTTCTCTAAAGTCAGAAGATATAATTATTCACTCTCTGTGCATCAGACTCCTTGTCAAATAATTGCTATTTCAAAATACTACAATTCTACGGATGAAAAGTATCAAAAGTCTTGGCTCTACAAACTACTCAGTTCCTTAAACTAATCTTTTGCAAGAACTGCCTAGACAGTTTGCAGTCATCTCAGTCTCAGGAGTTTAATACATTCACATGGCTTTACTGTTTTGGAAGTTAGACTGCAGTCACAGTGGGTGCATTGCAGGCTTCCTTCTGCTCATATATTCCAACTAAGAGCCCTCACTAACTCCCTCCAGCTCTGTCATGAACAGTGCCTGACCCACAGAGGAAAAATTAAAACACAACACTTACTTTGTTTCCTCTGAAGATCTTCCCGTATCTGGCAATGACAATCTTTCCTGTACAGTTAATTCCCATTTCACGCTCCAGCTTAAAAAAATCTTCCGTACGGCCATAATTCACATAGACCAGATCTGCCTGCACAGAAAAGAAAAGCAGTGTCATGGCAACTGGTCAATCAACAGACAAACTACCCACTACCAAAAATACACTGTTTCATTCACTATGTATGATATAGTGTTGGGCTTTTTTTTGCATTTCTGCAAATTAGATCCAGTGCCCATAAAAACAATAGCAAAAGTTATCTATAATATTCTATATGAAACTTTGGCTTAAATGGCTGACTTTTGTATATTATCCTGCCCTTAACAACAGTCTTAAAATCTGAGGCTGGAAAATAAACCAACATACTTTGTTAAATTGACAAACTTCTCTGGCCATGACAAATACTGGTATACCTTGCATACATAAACACACACAATTACATAATTTCATTCATTTATGCAATACAATGTTGTCCCTGACTGTTCCATAATGGATTAGCAGATTAAGTGAGGGGCTTTTGTGGCCTTTAAAGGCATTCATTTAATCCAAAGTGTCTTCCAACTTGATTTATATATTGCCAATTCTACTTGAGCCTTAAGCAGGTTCTCTCCATATGATTGAATAATGTGGAGCAATCTGAGATATATCCAAAATTTTTCATCAAGATAAAAACTTTTATTATGTGATTCAAAGTTCTAGCAATTTGAGAAAGCTTTGTTTTTTTGGTTACAAAAGACTTCTAACCTTTGCACAATATGTGGCCTAGCCGTGCTTAAGTGCTCCCTAATTAACACAAATGATTAATTAAAACTACTACAACAAATATTTTGAGAAATTGGAGCAATTTGTCCCAGTAAGGCAGGGATAAGGATATTCACAAAATATGACTTCAGCTAATAGCACTCTTACATAATTTTTTTCTTACCTCTGGCACTCCTTGTGCTGAAAAAGCATTATATGGTGGTAGTATACCAGTAACATTTTCATACCCCTGAGCAGGTGGTTCAAACAATGACGTATTGAAAACCTACCAATAAATAACAGAAGTCTTTGGTCAAATACTCCAGGCAAAAATTTGCCCACTAAGGAAATGCTAAGTGTGTAAACTATACGCTGGTTTCCATAAATCACTAGCAAAAAATACAATTCTAACTAGCATGCGTACGTTCAAACAAAAACACAGCTAGAGATCCAGAGCTGAACTTTTATAACAGAATGCAGATATGAATAGCAAAGAGACTGATCACTTGTCAGAAGATGCCCATCAGTCACTGCCTGAACCTAAGCAAAGAAGTAGCTGGAAACTGCCAAGAGGTTGTGACAGTAAAAAGGCACCCAGTTCATCCATGCCATCCCAGGTATTTTTTGTGATTACTCCCACTTTTATTATTATTATTCTCTTCAGCTCTTTGCTAGTTATGTTCCAGTTAAATGTGCTGCTTTTTATCACTATCTATTGTAACACTCGTGTTAAGGTTCACGTCCACTTTTTGTCATCTTATGAGATTATGAGATACTGTTACAGAGTTTCTTGAAAAATTTCTTCATTCTTTCACCTCTAAGCTCATGTCATCCTGAGCAAGTATTCCTTAGTTTCCACCATGTCTCTTCATCCCCACCTTTGTGCTATGATGCTTCTCTAGCAGTCCCATCTCCCCTCCCTACTCAGGCTCCTTGTCAGATTTTACATCTGCTTCTTTATTTCTCTGGGTGTTCAAAAGGGAGATATCTACAGACTGACTAGTTCATTAGTACTTCTTCTAACACTAACTTAGAAGACACCATAGGGAGACAGTGGGATCAGGTTCAGAGCAAGGAAAACTAGGTAGCACTTCATACAATCAATAGTATCTCTAACTCCTTACCTCAGCATGTTGTGGAAGCAAAAACTGTGCAGGGTTTGGACAGGTACTTGGAAAAGAGACCTAACAAGGGTCACTGACTGGATAAATACTTGGAAAAGAGGCCTAATGAGGATTCTTTAGGAGACTAATTACAGCACATTCAGAGAACGTCTGAGCTGAAAACATTAGACACTGGAAGAATTGCATACCTGAAATATATTTCTTTGTTTTAAGCAGCTTCGTGCGTCCACTTAAACCTGTTTATGGAAACAGGATATTGGCCTAGATGTATCCTCAAGCTAAACCCTTCTAACACCTTATGGTCTACTGGTGTTAATTGCAGCCTCTCCACAGGTCCTCTCTCCTCTGTACGAGGCACTGAGATTACAGCCACTCTGCCGTGTTACTGCACAGCCTGGAAAACCATTTCTAAATATGAGTAGCCTTTGCACTGGACTTTTTATTGTAATATAAAGCACAAGCTGAGCTGAATGGGTGGGTAAAGAGAGAAAGAACTGTTTTTTAAAGGAGTCTTACATAAATACAGTTTTGTCATTAAAAAGATCACCTCATTCCCTTGATCATCAATTACTGAGATGTAGTTTGGCTGCTTTTCATTTGGGTATGAAAGAAGCACGTCATAATGAACAAGTTCAGTTGAATCCAATCCAAATTCCTTCCACTGGCCTTGAATTTGTTCGGCAAGAATAAGATTCTGTTCAGTTCCTGCGACATGAGGCAACCTAGTAAATGAGCTAGAACAAAACAGAAAACTGCCAGTAAGCTGGAAATTCAGAGAGACACAATAGTGAACTAGGATCAGTGCATATAAAACTAATCCTCAAGCCACATTGGACTGTAAGGTCTCAAGGTTAGAGCTAAAAACATGATTGTTTTTCAGAGTTTGCATCAGGACAAGTACAAAATGTAGTCAGAGCAGAGGATCTCTCCTGAGGCCTTAAGTTAAGTCAGTTGATCTTCTCTTTGCATAACAGAATTAGCCACATGTACACACAAGCAATGAAAATCAGTATCGAAGACATTCAGCAAAAGAATATGAGCAGTATACGAGGAGCAGAAATAAATATAGCAAAACTAGACATTCAGAAAGGAGCCTTCCAGATAATTTTGGTATCTGATGATCTATTTGTACACTATTGGCATAATGTGTCCTGATGTCCTAATAAGTTTAACTTGAAAATCATTATATCAAATTATCTGCACAGATTTGCTTTATTTTTTTAATCAAAAGCCTGAATAATAAAATCCTTCTTAATAACACTTACTTTCATGTCAGATATAATTCATAACAGTGATAAACAGTCAGAAATAGTATCCAGCCCCTCTGGGCTACCCTACAGAAATCTGTCTGTAATTTGTTTGGTCCACTGTACAAGTAAGTTGTGATGAAAGCTCATCAGTGAGTCAGGTACTCAGCATGAGCTTCCAATTCCCAACACACTACTTGTCAATGGCTGCCCCACAGATGTCAGATACCACCAATTACCATTAACTCATGGTAGCAAATACCATGATTAGTATCACTTCAACTTGTCATTTCAGACTGTTTTCAACCCATGTAGGAGCGTGTTCTTCGGCGTGTACTTCCTCAGCTTCCCAAGGAGAATGCTGTGGGAGATGATGTTCAAAACCTTCCTTACAGAAGGCAATCATGCTGATGATACATACAAAAGGTAAATAAATGCTGACTGTTCCTAACCATCTTTCTGTTCCCCATGTGTTTGGAAATTCCAGAAGGATGTTCAGTCACCCTTCCAGGGATTGAAGCTAACCAGCCCACAGTCTCTCCATGTTGTCCTCACTTAAAGATGGGCACAACATCAGCCATTTTCAGCCACCTGGGACCTCTTTCAATCATCAGAACTTCTCACCTACAGCAATATAACATCAAGGTCCTTCACATGAATCCCACCTGGCCCCTAGATTTGAATACATCTAGATTCTCTAAGTAGACCACATCTCTCTGCTGCTGTCTTTCCCTCTCTTTAAACTGGATGTGTATGCACCAAGGTTTGTAAGCAACCTTTGACAAAACTTGTTGCCTGTTTTCTTCTTGCACTTTAATTCTCTCAAGTATTTTAAGCACCATTTAAACCCATAAGTGGTCTAAATACTACATATGGTATCACGGAAAATATACTGAACAACACATGATGCTTTTGTTTCAATTTTTCTAAACAGTTTAATCCTTTTCAGAGCTATGATACAATGCTAAGACTAAAGTGTACGTTTTATGAGATTCATAGTTTATTTTCCCCACTTTATAAAAGCAGATTTAGTAGTCTGAAAAACTAAGAATATGGATCAAAATTCCCAAGTTCACTTTTTTTAATACTTTTTGGTAAAATTTTTGGATAGTGCATTAATACAATTTTTCTGCAGTTCCTTATTTTTATTTGAATTTAGGCAATAAACCTCAACCCAACCAGTATGAAGCACTTGGCCCATCATCAAAGCAAGCAGACACATGAGATACCATTAATATCCTGTGGCCAAGAGACTTCAGCATAATTGCAGAGCTATTTCATGCTTTCATCAATCTCTGTGTTGCCTAGACTCTCACTCAAACATAATTTTCAGGAACTCTCCAGTCTACTGAAAGCAATGAATACAAAATAAGATAAGGCCTATAGACTTGAAAAGCTAATTGATGTTAGAAATTAAACCTTTTGGGTTTAGGATCAAACTTGTCAGTAATCCTTTCATGTTCATGATGCAGCTGCTGACCTACATGCTGAATACCAACATTTTACTAACCAGAGTTATTTACTTTTCATGTGAATATATTTGTTCCTCTGTAGAAGATATAAATATACACAATAATGATTTTTTTTAAATTTTCAATGGAATGCACAGCAAAACAAAAGGATAGTTTTATATCCTTAGCATTTTAGATGCTTTGAAAGAACTGCATGGATGCACTAGGATGCAAAAAAAGTATATTTACTAACAATTACATCATACAAGACTTAACCAACCATACACACACACACTGACCATGGATAGAAGATGGGGGATAATGGGGTGTCCAAGCACCCAGCTAAGAGCATGTTATCTAATATGGCCACACTAAAGGAATTATCAGTTGTAAGTATACATGCAACTCAGTGCCATGCAAATTTGTACCATTAACTTTTAATATATTAATTTTCTACTTAGACTAGCTGCTCAAAGTGAAAGTTTTAGGAGACACTGAACAGACGATCAATCAAATGTAATTCATAGTAATCAACATATCCCAAATAGAGTAAAATCGTCTCGCTCTGAGAGAAAGCAAAGTTATTTGATGTAAAAGCTTCAGTCACTTGCAAGGAAAAAACAGACACACTCCATTAAATCAAGAAGACGAAAAATCATAATAAAAAAGACTGGTAAGCACTGGCAGTAACACAGCTTGGGTGAAGTAGACTTGACAGTACAAGCACTCCAAAAACTTAACTTCAAAAATGGGGAGAAGAGGAACAGCAGAGTTGTGAGCCTCTCCCTTCTCCTTCCCTCAGACATTCTGTATAAACTAAATATTTCCAAAGCATTTTAACAGCTCTGCTTTCATTGGCCCTTCCTTGGAGCTTATGTTATCACTTTTTTGTGACTGATAAAATTGTTCAAAAAACAAGATACACACAGCTTACCGAAGGAAGTGCTTGATATTCTCTGCTTTCATTTCAGCCGCAAGTTTCTGTCTCACATTTTGGTAGACAACGGAAGAGTTGAGGGTTTTTCCACACAGTTTTGTCAACCATCCTGAAACACATTTGAAAAGCTTCCTACTTAGAAAGAACGCCAGTCCTCACATGTATGAGCCTTTGAGCAACACGAAGTATTGAACTGTTAAAACCACATGGATGAACAGGGCTTAGAGTACCCTCTGTCAGTGTCTGCCAGCTCAGAGAAGTAAAGCAGAAAAGTAAAATATATTTCATTTTTTGAATTGCCTAAAACATTACAAAAGACTACAGCCTAAATCGCTGGTAAATCCCCTTTACTTGCCTTTTTAAGACAGACTCATCTCTCATTAATTTTAACCATAGTTTAAATTCTCAATTAACTGTTTGCAGTGTGAGGTTTGAACTCCTGATACTCGTGATGAAATTCTCTTATTTAATTTATTCACATATCTTAAAATACATGTGTAGGCATATTTAAAGTGAAGATCTAGGACTCAACAGACACACTGCTAGCATTATAATAGTTACAGACTTGGGGTCAGACTATTTATTAACTAAAGGAATAAAGTTAACTGTGATCCAGTCAGTTTAAGAATGTTAAATATTTATTCAGTAGCCATAAATGGTTGTAGGAGAAGGTATATAAACTGTATTAATTTGTCTTAAGAAGAAAACAACAAAACAAACAACAAAACAAAACAAAATCCTTTTATTATTATAGGTAGACAATCCAAAAATGGGAAAATTTTCATAAGAAAGACAAATACATGTGATGTCACATGCACAATATATGTGACCCCTTAGACTTAAATGCAATTGAAGTAACACTCTGAACATAACAGTGATACTGGATTAAACCAAAGGTCCATCTTGCCCAGTATCCTGTTTTGGAGCATGGTCAAAATATTATGTTCAGGGAAATGTAGAAGAGTAGCACAAGCACCAGAAATTTGCAGCTCAGGGATCTCCTAAATCAAAATAATGTTTTCTATATTTAATAGACCTCATGGATTTTTCTTTCATGCTTCAGCCTTAAGTGTGTGCTACAATACAAGTTTAAAAAGGACATGCAATTTTATATTTAAAATCAAATGCTGAAAGTGACTTCAGAAAAAAATCTCATGTTCTAGTAAAGTTCATTGTGCACAATGAAAAACTTCAGTAACTCCATTCTTGGCTGTCAGTCAAATTCCTCCTCCTCTACATTCTACCCTTAGTTTCTAAAATAGCAACTGAATCGGAGCATTTAAATAGATCTTTAGTAAAAAATCAGGAAATACAATTAAAAAGAAATGGAGATCTGACAACCACTGAAGTCTCGAACTCTTCTATTAATCTTTCCTCTTTCAACGCCTGGCTGCCCATTTCGTAAGCTGTCAGTTCACCAGGGCTCGCCGTGAGCTGAAGCACGCAGCCGTTCTATTCCTCACTCCCTAAAGACCAAAACTGCTAGAGCGAGCAACTTCTTAGAAAAGCAGTGGGATGAGTACTTTATAATGTACCTAAAAAGCAGTATAATCTCCCTGATGATAAGTGAATCACAACAGGGGTTGCACTTAAGTATGTGCAGGGGGCAAAACCTGGTTCAAAAGCTGGGGCAAAAGCCCCTGGTTCTCCGTACTCACCTGTAAGAAAGCCCAGCAAGAAACAGCCAAGCAGCCCAGGACAGAGGAGCCATGTGCAGAGGGTGGTCTTGCTCCTGCTCCTGGCCATAGGAGTATCACTGGCTGGTAGCTTGGCAGGCTGTGAGGAGGGCAGGCAAGCAGCTGCCTTCCTTCTCCTCTGTCCCCTCCTCCTCTTTCCGTCTGCAGCCCCAGGGCTGTCCCTGGCTTCTGTGTTTCTCAGCTCTCATGCTGCCTAATCAGCCTTAACCCAGGATGATGATATGATTTTCTGAGAGCAATAAAACACTTCCATTTCTGAGTCTCACCCCAATAAACAGCTCCAGTCTATTTCTGTGACAGATATGTATCTAGGCTGTGCACCAAGCAGTTTACAAGTACTATTTAAAAGGCTAGTTTCTATTAATTATCAGGAGTTCCTGGTTTTGAAAGTTCTTGGTTTAGGCTTGATCACAATCTGTTCTAGTGGAAGTGGCCAAGAGATGAAAATAAGGGAAAACTTGTTTCTTCTTTACCAATGAAGCACTGAATTGCTTCCTTTAGTAATCCATAGTAACATTAATCCTTGGCAAGTGATGAATACTTAGAGCAGCTAAGAAAACAATTTAGATTACCCAGTGAGGACACTTCCAGGCATCATCCAATTTGGAACTGTGAAAAGTTGCAAAATTATTCTCTATATTCTCTAGCTTTTTACACTTAAGACTTCAGGGTTCTTAAGATCAAGTTTTCTTAGTCTAATTCAGTCAAATCCACTAGTATCTCATGGGAAAGGTCACAACTTCAGCCCAGGGAATAGTCAAAAAAATATGTTCATATACTCATTATATTTTTGCACAAACTTACTCTGACCCTGCACATCACCACCTGCTGGTGAGTTCCTGCATGGCTATATGGAAGCCAAGACTGATCTTTCTGGAACTGAGGACCTGCCCATTTGAGACCAGTTATATGGCTGAAGGTAGGAAATCTTTTCTGGGAGCCTGGAATGCTTCAAGTTCAAGTCCAAAGTAGGTACATTGTGTGAAAGAAATATCAGTACTCTGAGTATCAAAACTCAAACACATAAGGTTGAGCTGAAAATATTCAGAAAAAGCTGAAAAGGCTAGTTAATATCCTAATTGCTTCACTACGGCTTTCCAGAAAATAAGGACTTGGGTATTCTGCACCAGTGATAGCCACCATTTCAAGCACAGGCTGGATGTCTTTGTTCAAATTATAGGCACGTCCAGTTTTGTGATTTTTTTCCCTGTCATTTCCCAACTGCTCATAAGCCATCACAAATTCTGAACAGCAATGACATTTCACACCAGCATCTCAGTTGGCATATATAAACCAGATGGAATTCCACCTACAGAACTCATAAAGAATGAGCATATTGATGTATTATTAGCATTTATATAGCACCGCAGGTGTAGGACTGGCACATAATAGACAGTAAAATGACAAGGGCTTTTGGAAATTGATACAAAACTTAGACCTCACATGATAACATCAGTAGAGGAAGAAGGTAAGAATAGCAACAGTGAGAATGTTTGAAATGTATTTATTTCTATGCCTACATCTTTTTAAAGTGACAAGGGCATTAGCAATGCTGAGGTTGAATAACAGCAGCAACAAGGTGGCTTCTACCACTTAAAATACAGTCCTAATATTAGTCATTAGTTGTGATATGTTCTTACATGCCATAGATTGGCCACAGGTGGAGTATATTATGTTACAATTAAATGCAATATAACATACAGTGTAAATCTGTCTTCAACCACATACCCTCCACAAAGGACAGGGACAGGAAATAAGATGACAAAGGTCATGGGTTGAAATAAAGACAAGGACATTGCTTGTCAATTACCATTATAAGCAAACCAGATTCCATTTAGGGATAAATAATTTCATTTACTACAAATTAAAGTAGACTTGGATAGTGAGAAACAAAGACAAAAATTAAAACAACATCTTCTCCCCCACTGCATCCATTTTTTTAGCTTAACCTTCACTCCCAACTCCTCTATGCCAGAGTTGCCATATATGACTGTCATGTGAAAAGGGGAGATTTCCTTGTCCCTTGCTGTGGGGAGTTTTCCTTGATTCTCAGTGTTTTATTCATCTGTCAGTTCCCCAGGAAAGCTGAGACCCTTGTGCTCAACTAGTCTGTCAGCATCCCATCATGGGGACCCTTCACTGAACAGTCCTGCTGGATTGGAGGGCAGTTTGACTGACTTATTCAGGGAAATACACCAACAGCATAAGGGAGACCCCTCAGCAGGTCTTCCCACCTTATTCAAGTGTGTTACCCACTGCTGGCAGCTGCCAGCACCCGTGAAGGACTCACGCTGATGGGTTACGGAATTACGCTCTTTATTAATACAAAATTGTGACAGGTTATGGTTCGAAGACTGACGGTGATATTACCTGAGTGCAAGAATGTATTCAAAGCAATACACAGACAAGGCTTAATCCCAAATAAAAGTATTCAGTGCACATAGAGTGTGGTTCTTACCCAATAGGTGTCCCTATGGCAGAGAAAACAGGTTCGCACATCGACTGATCCCAGCAGTTACAATGGAGTCTTCCCTAACTTTTTGCTCACACTGAGAGTGAAAACAAGCCTCATGTTCAGCTGAAGCTATCAGAACTTGCAGGTAGCTACACGTGTTCTACTTAGTCAAAATACATAAATCCCTAGTAAAATAGAAAAGTTCAAAGAATGGCAAGGATACGCATGCCAGATGCAAAACTACCATGCATGTGTGTGTTGAATACATAATTATGCTATGCAGCCAATTACTAAAGCCAGTAATAGTGCATAAAAACACATAACACACAGGAAAAATGCCAGGGCTTGTAAACTGTAGGTTGTAACTGCTCAGCAACTGCGCCCTAAAGCTTAACATTTGCAGAAAGAAAGACGTGCTACTTGATTGCGTTGCCTGACCTATTGTTCAACTAAAGGTTGAACTTGTGGCTTGAGAATTCAAAGGGCCCTGGTTTGTGGGAAAGGCAGCCCTGGCAGGAAAAATGGCAACAGGGGAATGCTCAACTGCTATTTCAAATCAGTAGTTTCCTTCTGACTCTGCCAGTTGCACAGACCCCTGAACTCTCTCACGGCCTCTGCAGTCTTCCTATCAGTTTAAAATGGTAGTAGATGTTGATGCTTTGAGTCAGAGTCTTTGTTATCTTGAACTTCATGAGTCCATTATCAGATTCCAGCTAAAATAAAATTTACATTGCTGGCAGCTGACAAGTCCAGATTGCAAACTTTGACTCTTTCTTCTACAAGAGGAATTCAGAAATCATTCAGTGAGGTAAACAGACTTTCCAGCTAAAGTAACATTGACATTGCTGGTTTCATGAAAGCAAGGATTCATTTTAATACAAAAAGGTATAATTTCTCCCTTTTACACACATGAGTATGTTTTAATTTCATTTGATTTGCATACTTAGTGCACAGGATGATCATTGTATGGAGTTATTTGGAAAACCTGAACAGTATCCAATTTGTGATCATATGATAGCAATACTTTCTTAAAAAAAAACACTGCTCCTTTTTCACTTCACTTCTTCCAGATTCTTTAATTTAATTGATCTCACACTCAGGGATCGAGTTAGGTAACAGCTATGCCCCTGAGATATCTTGGCAGATCTAACAAAAAATACATTGGCTTAAAAAGGAGCTATTCCTGTATCTGGCCTGTCCTTACTAAACTCCTTCAAAGCATACACTTCCATGCTCATGTGGCTAGTTCAGATGGTTTTTTGAGCTCCAAGAATCAAAGTGCAGCTAAAAAGTTTGCAAGAACTTATTAACACTGCTTTTAATGCATATTACTTATTATTTAACCATTATTCTCCACTTGTCTGCTTTGAATGCATATTATTTATTTAACCATTGTTCTCCACTTGTCTGGCAGGAACTAGATGTCTCTATTTGTCGACAAATGTCAGTTGGTCTGATTTTGTTCATAAATATGAAATATGACCCTTACTTCTTTGTATTATCCCAGTAACTGAGTCATGTGAAATTACATTTCTCAGTGCATATGCAACTACTCTTTCATTTTATGCTTTCTGCTTAGAAGCCATAATCCTAGTGACATACATAGGAAAAGGACAGCTGCATATGCATCCATGCATATATTTTGACATATGGCTTGCATAGCTGACTAAAAATCAGGTAGCTTCAGTAATTAGCTACATAGGCTTTGGCATTTGCTGTCCAGTTATGACACCAAATATTTTTGCCTTGAATAGCCTTTGACAAATGGAGCTCCAGTGGCTATATCTAGACTCCATAGAAGACTGACAGAAAGAAATTATTTAGGGAGTAGAATGTTTTTATCACACAAAATATTAGCTGTGCAAGAGGTTAATAATCCTCCAGGGCAGAATGTCAGATGAAGGGATTTGATTTTCTGAGTCTTCTCTGTCCGATCTCAGTTGCCTCACTGTGATCTTTCAAGCAGTCCATCATAAGAGTAAGCAGCACACCAAAATCAGAAATAGAGACTTTACAAAATGGCAATAATTTTGTATCCTTTCAAACTAAGGACATGATGAATTTTTTTTGCTTCTAATTGTCTTCATACAAAAAACAACTTTATATGGACAAGGCATAGCAAAGGTAGATTTTGGATAAAAGAAGGTCGTCTTCTCAAAAGACATTTTGTATGATGACTATATGTCTGCCTTGTTTTTACTCTAGTGACTAGAAAGCTTCTTGCTTAAATTTATTTGCAAACAGCTTCAAGGTTCAGCATGTGAGAAGAAGAATGTCATGGATGAGTATTCTGGGCTGGCTGCCCAAAACTTGTTATGATCGTTATACATCCCACAAATGGTATGTCACAGTTTTCCCATTTTCATACATGAGTCTTTGTGTAAAAGGAGGGCTGAAATGTCTGTCTTGGAGTAGAATGATACAATCCCAAGGTAAATAATAAAAAGTCAACAACAAAATTATAAACTGATAGAAACATGAAATTAATTCTGTTTTCCTGATGCACTATGAAGACTGCTATAATAATCAAGCTAGCAAAATTCAAAGCTATGAAAATAAATCCAGTGGTTAGCAATTCTTAAAATACAAAGCTGAGAGAAAACCTGAAACTTTTTCACTCTCACTTCAGAAGGTATCTAAATCCTGAGCTCTCGGAATGGAGTACATTACCTTGTTAACATTGCTAAATGTATTCCACTTGGGTATATTATTTGCAAAGAACAAGATTTTTTTTATTTTGTGTTCTTCGTAATAATCCTCCTAGTGTTTTTCAATGATCCATTTTTAAAACTTCTTGCAAAATTCTGTATTTTGTCTTCACTGATGATTACGTTGTTGATATTTAAGCTACTTCTTTCAGTGTTTCTGCTGCTGCCTGTACAGTGAAGGCTGCAATGGAAATTTGCCTCTTCACTTCTTCCCAGGCTTCACGTTGATCAGCTTTGTTTTCGATATCAAACATGGCATCATAGATTCCTGGGAAAGATTCTCCTGCATACTTATTGTGGCTGCTTGGAGCAAAGATAACATGTCTGCAGGGAAGATGACGGGGAAAAATAGCAATATTCTGCATTAGAAAAATAAAACATACAATTTTCTGGATAAAACTAGTCTGTTTCTATACCATCTGTTAAACTCTTGACACTTAGGATGTAAATAAATAAGATTATTGCAACAATAGTAGCTATAGTCTATGAAGCAAGAAACTAACATAAGCTACATTATGCCATGTGAATTCCAGAACTTTATAGCTACTTGAGATAAAATTGAGTCAAATATTTTCCTTTCCCTCATTTTAGATGAAATTAAAAGATTAAAAAAAAGCCAGCTGATTTTCTCAAAGATATACACAGTCTCCAACAGATACAGGTATGCTTTGAGATAGGAAAGCCAATGCTTTGACTGTTCTCAACATATTTTTAATCATAAACTATGAGAGGTACAAGGATTGTAGATCTTAATTTCTCCTTCTGCAATTAGTTTTTAGTGGAATTTTTTAGTGGAAAGATTACTGTTCTGAATTATGCAGACTGGTAAAAGGATCAAAAACCTAGATTGATTTGACTGCCTCTCAGATAAGATTTACTTCTCGAACTGGATGAGAGGACCACTGAATTCCCTTCACTGCTGTTGTAGTGCTGCCCTCCACACTGCATTTGCTAGCATGACTGTTCTCTTATAATTGATCAAATTGCAGTACTTGAATTATAAAGTATTTCACTTTCAAATAATAACAACTTCCTATAGACTCTTTACCACTAAAATTACTTGAAATGAGTCCAGGGCTTAACTTTAGATCTGTTTAGAAGCCAGTGAAATCAATAGAAATGATCTGAATAGATTTCCAACAAGACTCTTCCTCATTCTGTATAATGTATCTCACTGAAGTTTTCCCCAGTATTGTTTTCCCTTTTAAACCTTATTTGTTCTGTTTAATCTACTTTTACTGTGTTGAATAAAATCATTATAACTCTATTTAGAGACCTGTGAATCTTAACAGAATTCTTATAGGGTATTCCAGGAGGAAAGTGAAAAGTAACCATTTCTCACCTATAAAACGGCCTTCCAGGTAATCCAAGGGGATCGATAAAAGCCCTTTCCAGAAACATGAGCTGATCATTTAGTGATCTGACAGCAAGTAGGCTAAAAAGAAAAAAGGAATATGTTAGCTACAGACTGTTTGACTTGCTTTTAGTCCTGTGCCCCAGCATTCACATCTCTGGATTTATGAAGGACAGTGTTCTATACTAACAGTGTTTCTACACTAACACTCTCCAGAGAATTATGTCTTCGATTTTAGGCAACAGATCCACGATGTTGAACTGAAGAGTAGCCCAAAAAAGCCCATGTCAGCTAACCTGCAAAGAAGCATTATGCTGATCTATTGTGAGACAGTTTGGTTCACAACCTGAAAGTCTCTTAAAGTTGTTTTTAAAGGCCAAGTAATAATGTCAAAGAAGACAATTTCAGGTATTTTCTCTCATGTTGCATCTTACTCCTTTATCTCCTTTCCATAAGGATACTTAAGCAGACCGTTCTCTTCTTTTGTACAAAAGTTTTCTAAAGACCCTATTTCCTACAAAGCCAGCCAGCCACAAATTACTTCAATAAAATCTCATTTGTTGTAAAATCACAACATCTGAAAAAAAGTAACCTTGTGATGTTAGAACCAACTCTTGAGTTATCCAAGAATTGTGGTTTTTTGATGGTAGATTTTAAATTCCCTAGAGCAGAGACCATCTGTGTGTGTGTACTTTGAATAGCTCTGAGCATACTACTGATGCTTAACAAATAAAATAATCATGAAGAAGATTATACGGAAAATATGTGGGCTCGGTAGTTTACATTGAACTTAATGTAGAGCTTTGAAGGCATTCATCAATAAAAAATGGTAAAATTTATACCACCATAAGCCTGGAGTAACTCTACAACCATCAATAAATTTTTTTCAAGTTTACAGTGGCGCAAACAGAAACTAAAACTGGTTAGTTGAATTAAAACTTAGATTTAGGCCACCCACCAATAAAACCATTTTGAAAATGTCACATACATGTCACATGTCATAAATGTCATCTTTTACATAAGAAATTATTGTTAACTCATCTTGAAAAGTGCTGCCATTAAAAAGATGGCTTTTATTCTCAGTTAGTGTTCCATAAGGGTAAGCATATGGCTAGATGAGATCCTTCCCAAGAATTGTAACATACACATATGTATATACAAAATGAAGCTTGGTTTGTCATTCTGGGCATGGCCTACAAGGAATAAATTACAAATTAAGTCAAATGCAAATTAAGCCTTTTGGCATAGGTGGTACATAAAACTTCTTGATAGCTCATCGAAAAGCTTGCCCCAAATACAGCTTCTTTTTTATCTTTTTTCCATTAAGTGGTACCAAGTGACTGTGCCTCTGAGCTCAGAGGACTACATGCAGCATTTGACTGGAAAAAAAAGGAGTTAAACTTACTTATTGATATCTATTTGTTGCAGTCTCTCATGAAAGCTAGCAGCAACTTCTGTAAAATTCTTCACAGCTGAAAAGAGAGCATCTGGAGGGAGCAGGAAGGAAGTAATTACCTTCATATTCTGAAGACATAATTTAACAAATAACATTCTACAAATTAAAGCTTTATCTTTCACTGTAATCATGATCTATTAAGTGTCGGTGAAGGAAAATCAGATGACCCCATATTCCTACATTAAAAAATATGTAATTCTGTGTTAAAACCTGCCTTAGAGACAGTAGAAATTAGCACTTTTGTGACTATTGTTTATTATTTGCTACTTGAAGAATATAAAGAAATATCAAAAACTGGATTGTGGACTGCCAGAACCAGACTGTTCATAAGTCTGAGATTTTATAAACCCCAACAACCTGTGTTTTACTGTTATGTCCCTCCATACAGACAGAGTATATGTGTGGGTGTGTGTGCGTGTGCATGCACGTAGCTGATATTGGTCATTAGCAGCTAAATCCTAAAGTGAATACAATATAATGCTGTCAATAAAACAGAGGCTTCTGAGGCAGAGAATTATCCAGCACTAGAAGCTGCAAAGCAGTATGATTATTTTTAAGGAACCAAGACAATGATACATTGTTGTCAACATTGGTGGATCATACACAGGTCAAAGCACATGCAACTGTAAGCGTTAGCTCTATTGGGCAGTGGCATATTCTCTACACAGGCATACTAGTGACAAAATATTCACATTTCAAATTCTTGGAGGGTGTGGCTCTTGTTTTATTTACTGTTCATACAGCACAAAGTAAATACCAGGCCATGACTAAGACATACATTACTATACTAGCATTAATGGAGGAGGAGCGTGATGAAAGACTGTACGTACCAAAGGATACGTTGTATGTTGCCAGTTCATCTTCATGATTCCTTGACAAATTATAGATGATGTGAGCATAGTTGCTCACAGCTGACGCATAATCTCTGCAGTCAAAAGGAAGCACAACAGAGTTGGCCAATTCAAACACCAGCCCTCCCCGTACCTGAGCTACTGTCAGATGATTTTTGAAAGTGGGATCATAGAACTGCTCCACAATTTCATAGGTTTCATAGACACTGTGGTAAACTGGATAGCTGTTATATTTTTCTATGTTCTGAAACAAAAATACCAAAACAAAACAAAACTATTATTCAGTGATGGATACTTCAGTGTGGCTTGTAAACATTTGCTGTGGGATTCAAGGCACAGTAAAGTTAAATTCTTAAAGTCAAGTTTGTCTGACTGATACCAAATTGAACATTCTTATTTATTACATATTTGTATTGAGGTAGCACATAGAGTTCTAGTAATTAGATACCATTCTGACACACTAAACTGAACTAGTCCAAAAAGCTGGCAGTTTAAATGGTTATTTATATAACAGGTGATGTTCTTGAGGCAGTTACTGGGGAGACTAAATTACAAAGACACAGACTTACCCAATTTTTACTGTAACGTGCTCTGCCTGAAGCGATGCCAAGACGTTGAAAAAAGACTTCAAAGTCATTGCCAGAACCCAGTTTATTTATTCTTTTAACATGAAAGAGGAAAATAACTTGAGTGACAATACTTAAAGTATAATTTTCGTTTGCTTCCAAGTACCGTGTCAATTACTTATTCAGCAGTCGGTCACTATACACTACACAGTCTTTTCCTAGTATGCTCCTTTTGTCACTACACATGAATTGTCTCTGACCCCCACATTACATGCATCACATCGTTGCATTCTTGGAATAGCAAAGTAATCATTCTCAGGGTCAGAAATATCCAGCTCTCAGAAGGAGAATTTCACTCACTGTCTTTTATCACTGACAAGAATCAATGACCTTCCTCCTGCTGAACTTCCACTATCCCAAGCTCTCAACTGAGAGAAATCACAGAAGTATCAGCATGGCTTCATAGAATAAAATCAGTCATTGAGATTCCATAGACACCCCCTGGTAAATTTGAAGGACAGTGTTGTAAAATCCTGCCTGACGTGCCCCCCAGCCTCCCAAATTCAGAGGCCTTCCAGGAGACTGGAAGCAAATGCAAGGGAAAGCTGCTGAGTTAGCATCTTGTGTGCCTGCCACTGGCTTGTGCATACTGCTCTTATTTGTCTAAATTTCTATAAACTACAAGAACACTTTTCATATATAAAGCCTTCTGTTCATCGACAAAGGCAGGTTTGCAACACTATTGTACAATAGCATACCTAGCAATACCAATCAATAAAACTCTGAAATTCATACCAGCTCAGAAACACACCATTTCTTTTAAGCACTCAGCTTTTCAAATGGGTATTTCTTTAAAACCCACATTATACAAGTTATAATAACGTTTGGTATATAATTTATGTTCTTTTGTCACTGACCTGGGGACCTCTTTATATTCTCTTGATGGATTTTTTTTATACCAGCTCTCATAAAGAGATTTTCCTTCAAAACCCTCATCAGGACTTGGTATCTAGAAAAAGACAAAGGGTGCAATTTTAAATGTTACCAAGCAACAAATCAACAACCTGTCCTCACACAAAAGACTTTGGGCAATGACTAAGTCACAGCCTTAAGTCCCTCAACCTTTCTTCATTTCCATTTTAACACTTCAGACGCATAGCATTTTCCAGAGGAATAATTTATTTTCTAAAACATAAGTAATTTTAGATGAAAGAAAACACAAGGAAAGGAAAACATTTCAGGTCAATATTTACATTCTGATGTTTCTTTATGAGATTTTCAGCTATTTAATTTAAATATTCAACAAAACAATCCCTCACAGAACAAAACTTCTGGCTTTACTTGGGAAAGAAATTTCAATTTTGTCTTACTTTAATTCAAAACTGTTTCTACTTCATTTTAGTTCACAAAAACTATGTTTATGAATGCAGAAGCAACCTTAGAAGGGCAAAGTGCACAGTACCTGGTGTTTATGTCATCATAGCTGCTAGAGAGGTATATAAATCACAATTATCCTAAAGTTCATTCCTATCACTCTGACTACTTTGAAGGTAACTGAGCATCATCTTTCCTTTATATCAGTGTAATACTGAGGTTTTATTATCTTGAATCTATTAAAGATTATTAATATCTCTTCTACTATTAATATATATATAACTACCTAAAAATAGGAACCAAATTAAAACTAATATATTTGGAGTTGTGTCCATTAAGCTAATTGTTTGTATAACAGTTATAAGACTTTTTACCAGATTGACTTTGGATGGGATCACATGGGACATGTTTCCTGATCAGCATTCTCTTCAGACATCAGTTACCAACAAGCTGTGGTTATATGCATTCATCAACCTCTGTTGTTGCTTCCCAGTTTGAGGAAGGGTTACGCAATGCAACCATTTTCACTGCTATTTAGGTCAACATTCTAATGATGGCTCTTGCTGTCCAAACTGAGACCCTACTGACCTGATTTTCTGACAGTTCTGAAGACTTGCATTTAGCACAGGTTACCATGGGAACTGCAGGTGATCAGCTCTTCTGTAGTTTATGACAGAAATACCTTTATCTGGGCACTTGATTTTTACAGTTACATTTTAGTTGTTGTACTTTAATTGCCAGAAAATTATTATAATGATTTACTACCTTTTATTTACTTTTGTACCAGTCTAATGCCAGTTTCAAGAGACAACAAATTATCAACGCTAGAAAAGCCAGATGACTAAATATATACAGCAGACAAAGACAGATAAAGTAGATTTATAGAATATATATAGTAGATGAATGTATATTATATATGCATTTAAACACACAAAAAGACCAATTAAATGTTCATTGTTTAATATAGTTGAACAGGAAAAACACCCCAGAAACAAAATGACAGCTTCTAAGACCCACTCCCAAAGCAAGGAACATCTTACATGTAAGATGGTGAGGCTATTTCCTAGAGAGAAAGGTCCCTACCTATTAAGAGAAAGGTCCCTACCTCTTAATTTTATATGCCACACAAATATGTGTGAGACCATCATGGTCAGTGCCAGTGAATAACTAACAGGGTACACTGAAGCTGAGCACACTGACCAAACCTGCATGTCATATCAAAAACAATACAGTAGTAGGACTAATTTCTTCCCCTGCCTAAAGGGAGTCAGTCTCCCATTACCATGAGCACTCTAGTAGTTGATCTGGGCAGCCAGGTTTGTGCTTATTTCTGTCCTCTGGTTCACAGCATTCTTTCATTCTTTTGTTCATAGAAGGAATGCTTTCACAGAAGTGGCAAAATCCCTTAATCCCAAATAGCTAATAATTTAAAGATATAAGCTTGAAATCCCCTTGGCCCTTCTGGGAAAAAGCTCCAATTACTTAGCTATTGACCTAAAAGGGATACTGCAGCCAGAAAAGAAATATCTGACACCACATTTCATAGACAGAGCTCCATCAACTGAGTGAGCACTGAACATACTGGCTAAAAATTTCAAGTGATATTACCTCTTTAGTCAGACTGTACACCAGACTGTACATCAGTGGTGTGCAATCCACTCGCAGTGTGTAGTTTCCTGAAAAAAAAGGAAAAACTATTTATTTGAAGAAGGAAAGAAGGAACTTCCACTCAGTTGAAACCTCATGCCATTATTTGTTAATAAGTAAGGGACTGGAGAGCTACACTATTAATGAGGAGCAAGCTGAGAATCATAGAATCAAAGAATCAACTAGGTTGGAAAAGACCTCCGAGATCATCAAGTCCAACGCTTGATCCAACACCACCGTGGTTACTAGACCATGGCATTAAGTGCCACATGCAGTTGCATCTTAAAAACCTCCAGGGACGGAGAATCCACCACTTCCCTGGGCAGCCCATTCCAATGTCTGATTACTCCCTCTGTAAAAATTTTTTTCCTAATATTCAATCTAAACCTCCCCTGGCCCAGCTTAAGACCATGCCCCTTGTCCTACTGCTGGTTGCCTGGGAGAAGAGTCTTCCTGTGATCTTGTCAGTGCATTTGTATTGGTTTTGATGAATTTCAGCCCAGCTTTCGAAGAAATTCTTCAGAGCTTTTCTTTTGTCCCTGTGATTACTATGCACGTTATAAGAGGAGAAGCTGACTCTGAAGAGTTGCCATAGAACTCGGGGCCACAACACTTTTCGTCCCTCCCTATGACTTCCCAAGGGAAAAAACAGGAATATTTGAAGGATACTTTATGATCCCAGGTGACAGTTTCTCCCCATATCCACTTCTGAATTAATGCAACAAAATGATCACATTGAAGGTCTAATGAATCTCCAGGCAAAATCCCTCCCGGTCATACCATCACTATTTCTGTAAAACACAAGTCTAAACCATGTACCTTCAACTGAAGAATCTGCATTGATATAAGCCACTCCTCGTGCTTGTAATACTTTGGCATTTTCCTATGAGAAAGAAAAAAGGAAGAAAATGCTAACAAACTTTTTTCCCGCAGAACTCTTTTCCCACTCACAAAACAAACAGCTTTTTCATAGAAAGACATCATATACTACATGGAGCAGTACATATACATTCAAAAGGAAACTAAAGAAAGAAAGAGAGAATGTGTGTGCAAGGAAAAGAGGGAGAAGGAGGAAAGAAGTGCTGCTTTCTAGTACAGATTTCTCAAAGAGCAGACATCATGCACATTTCTTTTTGAACACTACTGGTTTACCTCAGCCCACTCTGTTGATCCTAACAAGCCAAATTCCTCTGCATCCCAGCTTGCAAATACCACTGTTCTCCTTGGTCTCCATCCTGCACAATGAAAGACCATGAAAACTATATTACCAAAACAAAGGCTGTTTTTCGCATGATAACTAATGTGAAAACAAATGCCAGTTTGGGGGGTCTCATCTTGTATCATGATCTGTGGGGAAAGAGACATGTTTAAGGAATTTTAACACCAACTTCAGTAACCTAACATAATAATGATTCGTTATTGTAGCAATCTCACCTCTACTTCAATATTGTGCCAAATGATGTATTCTTTCTTGTCTCTCAGTTTAATTTCAAGAAAATTTTCTAAAATTTAAAACTCTGACCAAGGAAAAATAATGTACTGTGCACAAATTCTTGAAAGATTTTCTACTCTTTTTGCTCTGTTCAGTTTAGTATATATTGTATACCAGTGTCTACTTTGACAGAAAAGTGGCATGTTTTCATATCTATTACTGAATTTCTTTGACTTGTCTTCCAAATGCCAGATTTTAAAACCTAAGGAATTCCCTGTAACTTTGAAAGATCACCTTCAAAAGAAAGATCTTTCACTTGAAGTTCTGCATCTGATTTAAATTCAGGACAAATAGAATAGGCTCTATTGCCCCGCCTCTGTATCTCAGCCCAAAGTTTTCTTTGAAGCTACTGGAAACTTTTCATCTTTTATTTCCTTTCTTTTTTAATTTTTAATTTTTTTTCCAGTTTGAATTCCAAAGACAGCTTCCCCTGATATCTAATAACCAGGAGAAATGGAACGAAAACTAAATGTCAATAAGCTTTAAGTGTAATGTGTAGGCAATGAACGCTTCTCTAGCATGGTATTCGCATTGTCAGAGTTTCTTTCCATGGGATGTCAGATAAGGAGACAGCATTTGCTCTGACAGGAGCAGAAACTTGGTGCAGTTGACATTTGTTCCTATTCTAACGCAACTGAGCATGAGGTATTTTTAACCATTACCTCCTACTACGTTTGCACAGCTCATTCTCTGTATTAGACAGACATCCTTCATTTATTCTTGAGTCTGTCTGCAGGCCACAGTTAAGTGCTGAGAAAGCTCTCAGTGTTGCCTTCATGAAGCCTTTATCAGTCCATAACTCTATCAGTTTTATAAGACCATTGAAACATCCAGTCTGACCATCCCCAAATACACAGTAATCAATTGTACCTGAACATCATGTTTATTTCAGCATTTCCCATTTTGTGTTTTGTTTCCCTCTGGGTGTACTTTCTCTTGAGCAGAAGTACCTCTCACATAACAAAGTTGTAACTGGAATTAGATAACATCTACAGAGCAGCATGGTTTATTCTAGACATCAGTGAGATAGACGTGTTTAATTTTAAGTATATGTTTAAATCTCCGTGAAATCAATAGGCACTGCTGAGAGCAGTTACTTTGATGAGCTTTATTACCTTCCTTTTTCAGTTTTCCAAAGCTCCTCACAATCTCATGAACCACAGCTGCCCCACTCTGAGGATCAATGCCACCAAATACCCATGAGTCACGGTGGCCTCCCAGGATGACATATCTGTCTGGAGAAATTATTTTGGAGGTTTACTTAAGAAAACTTTTTTCTTGCCATAGAGCTGTTAATTTGAAGTAATTCTTTTCCATATATGTATCAGGCAACAGAGATTAATAATTTGTAATATACATGACAGAAAGACAAAACACATTTTAAATCTCCAAAGACATTTTTCTGTATTTGTCAGTCAATGCTAGAGAATTTGTCAAGCAGAATAACTGAATCCCACAAGACTAAAACCTCTTAAATTCCATAGCATTACTTCTATTATTAGAAATACTGCAGCTTCTCTCTAAAGATAGAAGCATCTTTCTGCATTTTACAGTAGCATGTTTCATGGTAAAGCTGATCCACTAAGTACAGCACACAAATTCACAACATTAGGGTGTGCTGAATGCAGTGTTTCTCTGAATTTATATAATCAATCATAAAAAGCGTTGTTCAAATCATGAGAGAGATGTGATTATTAAGATCAAAGTCAGAATAGATCTCTGTGCGACTATAATATGGTTAACAGTTGTGTTTCAGGCACAAGGTGAGTGCTGCAGTTACAAGATAAATGCTGTTATCATCATCCTAGGGATATCTATCTATCTGGGGGTTTTTTTGAGTATAAAATCACACTGGTTACAAGAGACTATAGGACAGACAAAAAGTCAATAGTGGTGGATATAGTCTCTTCAGATGGAACGCAAAATCCGTTCCTGTGTTTAGTAGGGAAGAATATCCACTTAAGAATATTCTTCCAATTGCAAAGTTATTTGCCTGAAGACAAATATTTTCCATATCGGACTCTTCCTTGAAAATCAGCATTCACAGTGAAAGTGCTGACATACCTTGAACCATATGAAAGCTGATGCAATAGACATTTCAACACCAATGACCATGTAGTGCAATATTTCAGAGAAAACTATATTCTTCACATCCCCCTTGTAACTGTGAAGTGTATCTAGAGGTCACTTCTCATTCACATTATGCTGAAGACAAATGATTTTACCTGGTTCCACAGTGCCTCTGATAGTACCAATCACATTGTAAATCCTTCTTACTTCGTTATTGTTATGAATGTGCATTTTCACCTTTCTAGTGTATTGGGAAGAAAATACAAAGAGAAAAATCCACCAGATTAGCCAATAAAACATCTTGACACCTTTCAAAAGTATAAATATGAATGATAAGGAAAGCATTTTGACCAACTTTAACCTCTATTAAAATAAGGTAGGTCTGAAAATATTTCAGTGGAGTTTTTTTTCTGGATTTATACCTGTGCAAATGAGAAGAGCATTCAGCCCTTGATAGCTATGTAACATTTCTAATGTCAATAAGATTTATACAGACAAGCAGGATCAGAACTCCAAATTCAGAGATTTTTTGCTAGCAGTTAATTTTTAAATTTAGAAGAGTGAAAGAAAAATGAAAACCATCTAATGTTGAAAAGGTAAACAGTTCTAGTATTCTAGAGATTGGTGCAAATCAGAACTGACTGACTCCATGGCTGGGTTTAACCCCAGCCAGCAACCAAGCCCCGCATAGCTGCTTGTTGCCACCAGCAGGATCAGGGAGAGAATTGGAAGGGTAAAAGCCAGAAAACTCGGGGGTTGAGATAAAGACAGTTTAATAGGGAAAGCAAAAGCCATGCACACAAGCAAAGCAAAACAAGAAATCAATTCACTGCTTCCCAGAGGCAGGCAGGTGTTCAGCCATCCCCATGACAGCATGGCCCCATCGTGTGTAGCAGTTACTTGGGAAGACAAATGCCATCACTCCAAATGTCCCTCCCCCTTCCTCCTTCTTCCCCCCACTTTATATACTGAGCATGATGTCATACGGTGTTGTCATGGTTTGAGATGGCCTCCCTGGGAGTCAGGGGCTCAGAGGTGACTGGGTGCCAGGGCAGTGTTCCCTGGAGAGCCAATCACCACTCGTCTTGTTCGCTTCTGCTCAAAATCATACATACACAGCACGGGAAGCTGTTGGCATATCTCTCTGTTGGTGCGTGTAGGTGTAGAAGGCCAGGAGGTGGCTGGGCTCCTTCTTCCCCCTCTGGGGGAGGCAGGGGAGCCCTGCAGCCCCCCAACTCTGCCTAGGCCAGAGTTAGAGACAGCATTGGAGTGAGTGAGTGTTTGTGAGGGACTCACAAAACAACTGGTAAGCGAGGAGAGAGAGGCAGGTCTTGCGGCCAGGCCCTCTTCTTCCCCCCCTTTGCAGCCAGGCTGCAGAAGGGGGCTGGTTTTCTCTCTCACTGTTTAAGTGGGAGTGGAGCAAGGCTTAGTATTGAAGCTGAGCCAAGAGACAGGCCGGAGGAGGCTCGATTGCCAGAAGAAAGAGTTGTGATTCATTGTAACATGTTGGAAGAACTTCAGGCAAGAATTGGAGATGGGCCAAAGAGCTCAGGAGTTGCCCTGCTGAGGTTTTGACTGGGGGCAGCCGAAAACTGACTCAGAGGACACTTGATAAGCTGAACTACACTGCAGCAGCCTACAAACAGAGGTATGAGACTGAGAGAGATCACACAACAGAAATGACACAGGACCGAGGAGAAAGGACTCAGAGCTACCTTCTTGAACTTCGTAAGAAGAAGGGACTTCGGCAAACAGCTGAAGGTTGGTTGGGGGAGAGTGTTCAGGGGCCCCGAACACTCCCACGAGAGAGAGACTGTGTTACATATCAGCCTTGAAAGGCTTTTCCTGGACTAGAGTAAAAGGGAGAAGCTTCGAAGGGACTGATAAAAGCGTAATATATATATATATATATATATATATATAGTTGCCTTTAGTTTGTATAGTATTTATTTGTGTAAAATAAATGTATATACTTCCCCCTTCCCCGATAAAAGCCTCTGGCCTGAAAGTTTTCGGTGTTGGGATAAATTGTGGGAAGAGGTGGGGGGAAGCCTGGAAATTGGATTCTGGATTTCTAATGTGGCTCAAACTGCCACAGGCGTGGAATATCCCTTTGGTCAGTTGGGGTCACTTGTTCCGGCTGTGTCTCCTCTCAATTTCCCCTGCACCCCCAATCTCCTCAACGGTGTGGCAGTACAGAAAGCAGAAGAGGTCTTGGTTCTGTGCAAGCACTACTCAGCAATGACAAAAACATCTCTATTATCAACCTTGTGTTCATAACAAATCCAAAATATAGCCTCACACCAACCACTGTGAAGAAAATTAACTCTACCCCAGTCAAAACCACCACACTTCAGCACAGTCAATACTGCTGTGGCACCTCAGGCAGCAGAAAATCAGACAACCAGAGTTGCACCAAGAGACTTAATCTACAACATCAAGAGCTGTTTACCTGTAACACAGCTGGAGGTGCAACAACTCAGCCTAAAGAGTTCATATGAAGTTCAGTATGAACAATAGTCATATGAAGTTTGTATGGAGTCAAACACTTTATAACAAGTCAGTACATTGTACTCAGACAATATAGAAACACCTGGACTTTAGTCCTAAACTGTAATTACTAATTTAGTTTAAAAACAATCTGAAGCAATAAAAATGATGTTGCAATTTAAGCTCTTCTTCTGGAAAACCTAACTTGTAGGTTAATACTGTTTTATATAAGTCAATAGATAAGAGCAGAAGCTAGACTCATGTGAATTTAAAAAAGACAACAAAAGTTCTCAAAAAAAAAAATCAGTCTTAACAAATAGTTTGTCAAAGGCTAGATGCTTTTCAAAGGAAACTGATTCAAGACTAGCTGGAAACCAAAGCAAGTAGGTCATATCCATCCAGTCAAGATGTAAATGTACTGAAGGTTTGCACTGACAGTATTTCAGCCAAAGAAATTGTCAAAATCAAGGGAATGATGCAAATAAACCCAATACTCCATCTTTGGTCAAATTCTATTGCTCTACCTGTCTTTTCTCTGATCCCAAGTATACTTTACTTAGGAAACAAAACTGACCTTGTAGAATAACTTGTTGTGAAACCAGGACCAACATTGTAAGATACATTCAAATTTCCTTTCCAGCTACTATCAGGTGGTGCATGTCCTCCCATATTACTATTATGAAAAAAAAATAATCATTATAAGTTACAGAAATCTTACAACAGCACCAAACACAAATGAAGAAACAGAAATCACACTTTGTTAGGTCCCATCCACACAAAAACCACAGTGCATACAAACTGCGTCTTTGGTCCCTGGAACATTCTAGTATCTTGAACTGCATTTGCATTTGAATTAGCAGAGAGCAACTTGGGTCATTCTAACAATTTAACAGCATAGACAGTTGTCTTCCAGTGCCTACCCCTGGACACTGCTTAATCCGGTAGCATAGACAGAGTTGACGTGTGTCAAAGATGGCTAACATTGAAGAAATGTGATCTTGTTCCATTGTCAAAGGCAATGTTTTCCCTGTTAACACAACCGGGAATGCAGTAATTCGGTGGATCGCAATCACCCAGACTTATTCACCTAAAGGACTTATATTTTTGACATGAACTTGTGAGAAACAAAGAAAATATTAAAAAGTATGATGGATGTTCTGTTCTTAGAAAGTAAAATATATTTATTGTAAATGAAAGCATATCTTTTACTGTAAATGCGTGCTTCAGTCAAGCTTTATTCCATAGAACACTACAGCATGTCTTCAAGTCCTCAGGAAATTTTTTATATAAAAATATGATAGCAGAAATAACAAGAAGTTATGATGTCTCAAGACAAATGTAAAAAAAGTATTTTTAAAAGATTTAGATTTCATTAATAATTATTAAAAATAAGTTCCAGAATTATTTACAATTTATTGAAGAGAAATATCTAGCTACATCATATTTATACATATTAATCTGCTCTTCCACTACTAGTTGTCAGTGGATAAAGGAGGGTTTTTAACCTATGCCTTTCTCATTATGAGCAGTTATCTTAATAACAGTGATAACAGAAATGTTTTAAAGAAAAGAGCATTTGGAAATATATTAGTCCCTAGAAGTTTGGAAGGAAACAGGAAAAACATTAGGACAGTGTTAATGAACATCAGGTATCCAAAACCACCAAAGACAGTAAAATTCTGCCTCCTATAAAAATAAATAGCTTCAATACTTCAGGAGAAATCTGCATAGAGAACCAAGACAGATATTTTTTTTCTGACTCGGTACTCAAACAGGTATCAAACTGAGCAGAATGACTGCTCATGTGATGTAAAACTCCTATGCAAACACATACCCAAGATTATATTCACTTATTGCCCTAAACACTTATCCATCATACTGTTGCCAACCCTGACATTTCCTGCTTTGCAACTGTACAGTTGACATAGATGATTACTGCTACATTTTCTAGGGGAATGATACACTTTCCATCTCAATCACATCTTAGGGGTTTTTTACTGAACTTACTTGGTTTGTTGAAATAATTATGGATTTTAATGCTGTCCACTAGCAAGCTGGTAGCCTGTCTCCATGCCATTTGCCTACTTAGTAAGAAAACTTACATGCAGATGTCTATTAAATCCCCTATGAAACTCCTGAGTTTCCTCAGTGTGCTTATATTAGTTCACCACCATCATATTTAAACAACATAACACACGTGATGAGAGAAAGCATACACTTTCATTTAATGGAGGACAGTACAGATACTGTCCCATCAAACATTCATGGCAAGTACTTCCCTGGACAAATGAATTACTTAATTTGTGATCTTTTTCACATGACAGGTCAGCCTCGAAAATTTTTACCTTTATTCAAACTGAGAGGCACTTTATAACTCCAGTATACTTGACTGACCATAATAAATTACAAATGGCCCTTTCCAGATCACTCTGCATATATCTCATATGTAGCAATAAATAACACATTTACCTCCTACAGAGAACTTAATAAGAAACAAAACATATTTCAACAGCTACAGGAGGAGCACAGTACAAAAGTCTTTCCTCTCTTTTCGACTACTCCCATAACTTTCAAAATACAGTCTTCTTAAAATTGTTCATGTCACCCATGCACTTACCGCAGTAATGACTCTGCATCGTAATAGCCAATAGGATGAACTGGAATTTTTGGGAGACCTACACCACTGATTTTGTCTAATCGGTAGGTGTATTCTGAAAGCAAAAGACAAATATTTTCATATTTACAACTCTCAGAAGGAATCTGTACAGTTCATAGCACCATCCTAACACTGGAGTCGGGGATAATCTTTTCACTTTCCTGGATATAGGACTGCCATTAATTGCATGTTTTCAGAGAGATACTAATGAAGGTTTTCCCATAGTGTTAATTTTTTGTGTTGAAACCCTTTTGCACAGAAGTTCAGACTAAGCTAAAGATAAAGAAAAAGAGTAAAGAGGGAGTCCTTAGTCTGATGCTTGGAACATTCTGCTGGAAACTAAAACAAATTTGCCAGTTGATAACAAGATGCAGATAAAATCATATACACTGGACTACTAAATATTCTGGTTTGCTGTTTTTGTGAACAAAATGAAATCTAGGTTTTATTCTGACAAAGCTCAAATAGAAATCATAGTATTTTACAAATGAGAAACTTAATTTTTACAATGTGGACAAAAGCATGGAAAAGAATAGTTTCCTCTTTAATACAACATTCACAGGGACCCTTTTTGAGGGAAGAAAACAGGGATTCATCTATAAGATCACTGACTCTAGCATGAGGAACGAGGAATCTTCCCCATGGTCTGCTCTACTGTGCTGCTCTTGTGAACATGTATCCCCTTCCAGCTCAAGTTCTGCTGGCTAGAGGCAACATTGCCCATCATTTAAGGACCCCTTTTCCTGAGGTGACTGCCTCTCTTAGATATGCTGTCTCAAGTGCTGGTATGAACGGTTCTTAATGAATTTTAGTCAAAATGGTCTGGTTTAGGTGATAAATGAAAAAACTTAGGCACAGCTCAAGCAGCTAAGGAGGCATAAGATGAAGGTAATGAATATAGGTGAGCACTCTATGGTTTCGCTTAACGTTCCCTCACTTCCTCTCATGCACCACTTACAGAGATGGCCTACTGACATGTAACCCAAACAAAGCAACAAAGACTAAGAAAAAGAGTGTTTTGTTACAAGGGAAAGAACATCCCCACCCCCTGCCCTTTCCTGATATCAGACCTCAGAGCATGCCTTCTCTAGAGTCACTGACCTTTTGCAGGATAACCTGGTGTCAGAGGATCCCCTGCCCCATTCAGGTTTAATACATTGCCACGCTGGGCTCCTCCACCTGGAAGATTCCAGCCATTTGGATAGGGGTCTACTCCTGGGGCACAGTAGTCAGCCGGGTCAGAGTACAGAATAATTCCCATGGCACCTGCCAATTCAGCATTCTTCACCTGCAAAGCACATCTCTGGTCCCTATCCAGTCCTTTATAGCTTGACCACAGAGTTCAAGGGGTAAAAGAAAGTATTATAAATTACAGTGATTTTTCCTCAGGGTCTTTTACAGTGCTTGGCTTAAGTAAAGTCTCATGCCATAAAATTTCCTAAAAAATATATATGCAGCTATCAGGTTCCATATGAAAGTAAGAGGTTTGCTGTTGCTTTGACTTTTAGTTAGGAGATAACATCAGTGACATAGAAAACATCCTTTACAGTATTGCTACATAACCTGAGTTTGCATTCTGTCATCCAGGCCAATACAATCAACTGACTATTGAAATGTACACATCATGGATGGGAAAAACTGTATCACATCTATACAACCATATCTTTCAGTTAGGCTTCTATTTATCTTATTTACCTAAATGATCTTCTGAACGTATCTCAGGCTTCAGACTATAGAGGAAGATTGCTATTGGAGAGCTTAAAACTGTCTTTGGTTGTGAACAAGACTAACTCCAGAGTGCATAGTTTATTATGGAAAAAGAACTGACCTGCACGCTGTTTTAAAAGAGTTCTCGTGTGACTTTATTATTGTATAATATATGTCATTCTGACATCCCAATCTGGTTTCCTACTAGATATGACAGTGATGGATAGTGACTGAGTGACAACTAATCTTCAACAGTTTTAAATTTGGGTATTTAATTCAGAAACACCACAGTTTTCTTTTTTTCCCTTTTTTTATTTTAAGGTAATACAGTACTTGCCTTCATCATCTATCTTATTCTTGCACACCATTAGGAAGTTGAGAAATGACAGTATGGTTCTCCAGATTTTATACAGGCTATCAAATTCTCCAGTATATAAACAATCATAAGAAATACTACTGCAAGAATGAACATATCCGTTTGTGTCAGCGAGGGCATATAATTTCCAAACCACAGGAAAACTGCCCCTCTAGATATTAGTAACTCTGAGGTATTTGTGTTTCATTTTAAGAAAAGATTCATAGGTAGTAATATCTTCATTTTTTAGGTGTTTTTCATTCAGATATTACTTTTAGGCATGGTAAACAATTTAGTGAAAATATTATCTGACCCAGAATATGAGTTATATGTCACTTTTCACTGGTGAAAATGGTATGTACGTAAACCAGTGAGTTATCTACTTAGAAGCTTCACACAAGATTAGTCAACAGCATATAATAAGAAGTGGCATTCCAGTGAGGAGATTCAGTGTTTGATATCCTTAGGTAACTGACAAATTTAAACTATAGTCCTGTTCAAATTAGGGTCAAACTAATTGTTGTACAAGAAACAAATACACATAAAATAGACTCTCTTTTTACATCCCTGTTGAGGAAAAAACTTGAGTGTATGCCTTAAGTATGCAAAGGATTATGTCCTTTACTATCAGGTCATGGAAATCTGCAGAAAACTGTAGTTTAAAAATATTTCTATGACAGGGATATTGAATAACCAAATACACAATTTAAAATAGCCTCCATATAGTTATAGTCTCTGCCCAGTGTACAGAAACCATTATAAAGAAATACAACATAGACATTTTAGAGGACAGTTGAACCAATAGGGAAGAACGGCCTGGTTCAGAATTCAAGTGTATTACAATGTATACAATGTATAACAATGTTAGTGATATTTTGGAACAATTTATAGAATGCAAAGCCATATAAAAATATGAAACACTTTCCAACTTATTTACTTTTATCCTAGAAATGTATTACACACATATGAAATACATATTTGCTATCTTTTACTAAAACATCATCTTTGAACACAGCTCTATGAAAACTCAGTTACACTAAAATCTACAGAACTCTTTAGGTAAGTGTTTCAGTCTCTTGAAAACAAGCGAAGGGCAGCACAAGTAACACTTTTATATACAGGAATTACCTTATTTCCTCTGAAGATCTTCCCATATCTGGCAATAACAATCTTTCCTGTACAGTTAATTCCCATTACACGTTCTAACTTAAAGAAGTCCTCGGTGCGGCCATAATTCACGTACACTAACTCACCCTGAAAGACAAAGGCAGAATTTGAAATAATACTGTCAAAGAGCATGTCAAAAGGAGGATGTGATCTTGTAAGATTATAAATTTGGAACAATGATCTCCAGGACTGGCTCTAGCATGAATTCTTTGATCGTGAGGCAACTAGGTAGGCAAGTGACTTTTAATAGACTCCTACCATCCAAAGCTGCCAGACTTTGTGCACAACTGAGAATGTTCACATATGACTTCTGCTTAAATGCTCAAAGTGAGGCATTTACTTCTCTTCACAGTCTGTTTAAAACTGGAGTCAGTCTTGGATAGCTGGAGGTATTTTGGACACAGACACCACAGTAAAGATCAATTTTATTTTATGCAATAGAGTTCACAGATTAGTTTTAGTTTTTAGTAGAATGGGTTTTAACATAAAATAGAGAAACCGTCCTGGAAAAACTCAGAAGAGTCATGGATCTGCCGAGTGTTCCCACTGCAGAGCTCCCTCCTGTGCTGTTCATAGTACAGATGCAGACAACAGCTCACTGGAGAATGCTATTCCTAACAGTGCTAGCTAAGTATCTGAACCTTTGTCAAACTATTACGTAATAAAGTGAACATAAGCATCATATTTTGAAAAGACAACCTGTCTTTAGGTATTGTTTTCATCAGAAACAAAGTTCATATATTTAATTCAAATAAAATCATTTTCTAAAGAAGGAAGCTGAAGCTTTCTAAACTTTTTTTTTATCATTTCCCATATCTAATCACTTACTAGCTCTCCACAAACTAAATAAAGCAGTGAGGTTATTCTATCTTTCTTCAGGGATATGTTATGATAAAAGGTCAAAGCCTATGAATTTTATCTTACATTATGTTCTGAAATTCCCATTGCAATTCTTGAAACACTCATTGCTCCTATATCCTAGGGTACAGATTATCTGCCTGGTTCTCCAGCATCCTTTGAGTATCTGAGGCAAATGAATACAGGATACTTTTTGTTTTCTGAACTTGGACAGCTTATTAGCAAACTTCAGAAAGTACACGACTGATATATACTGGGTTGTGTGAGTAGAAGCATTAGCAGGTTTCCAAGTCAAATTGAACTTTAAAGCAGAAACTGGAGCGGATGACCTCAGAGAGCTCTGCCAACCTAAATTATTCTATTTTCAGACAGGAAAAATATTAAGAACAACAACAAAAAATTCTAATCTTACAAAATATTAATTGAAATACCCTAATGATCATAGGCCAGAAAATTCCTATTACACAGGCCAGCTTTATGAAAGAAAGTCCATCAGCTGGTACCACCGGTACAAGAAAATAGGATTAGCATTAAATTCAGATCACAGCAACACTTTTATAGCCAGAAAAGCTAGTAAAAGCCTTTCTCAAGCATTCTCAACACTGCGCAGCTATACCTGTCAGTGTAAGTCTTGGGCAAGCAGCATTTTGAAATGGAGGTTTGGCTCATTGCCTGTGTAAATATAACAGTCTATTTGTTTACCGAGATGGAAAATAATGCATAGTTACAGAAATGCTTGGGGAAGCTTATAGCAGCTGATATTAAATATTTATTATCATATTTTTAAGGAAAAGGAAAAATAAAATTCAGTTCTGATACAAACTAGAGAAAAAAATTAAACATATGTATGACCGCCTAATTTGAACATTGCTCCATTGCAATAATCCCAAAAACATCAGAGCTAGGTCATATTTCCTACTGGTGATAAGTCAGATTTTTAACTAAAGCCTAAGGAATTTCACACTATTCTGTGTTGCTCTCTGCTATTCTGTGCTATGCTACTCTTTTCTATTTCTATTATTTCTAATTCTGTCTCTGATTCTTTTTCTATTTCTCTTCCCACTTCTATTTCTCTTTCAGCTTCTACTTTTGTTTCTTTCACTCTTCTACTGTTACCTCAGGCATTCCTTGGGCTGAAAACGCACTGTAGGGTGGCACCACATCTCTAACAGCTTCATATCCTGGAGGAGGAGGCTCAGATAATGATGTGTTGAAAATCTAATGGGAAAGAAGAAAAGGAATAACATAAACCAGGTGATATGGAAAAAAAAGAAAAATTCAGACACATTTCACGAGAACTTGCAGTTTAAAGGACTCTGATTTTAGAGCTCTACATGAGGAGTGGCCAAAACTTTAGCAAGCACTGGGCAGCCTTTTCAGTAGGCAAGTTCAAGGTGTGATCTTACAAATCGCATCCGCATTCTTCACACAGAGTCCTGCGTAAATGAACACAGGGTCCCTTAAAGTGGTTTCAGTACAGCAGATAAAAACAAGTTAGATCACAGTGGTAAAAATGCTTGCATTCTGCTCATCCCTGGAGCTTTTACATGCACTCGAGCTATTCTGTAATGAAATCATGTCTCTTGTGATAGTACATTTTGAGGCCTAAACGCTAATCTTCCAGAAACTGAATTTAGCACAATCATCAATACTGTATAATGAATCAATGCAAAGAACGGTGCTGACCATGGTTTCTCTCCTCTTTCCTAAATAACAGAGAAATTTTAAAACGATTGACTCACATGAAATAGTTCTCTTACACAATTCACGTTTAATCAATATATGTCAGTGTGCTATATGAATCAGAGTAAATATTAGTATTCCACATACATTGTGAAACAAAGATGCTAACTATAAAAGCAAACTGGAACCCCCAGTTTCCATGTGCTTTGTATCAGGCCCAATAGTAACTGAACAGAGGACAGCTTTCCCTCACAGTCTTCCCAGGTGTATGACGGTGATTTTGTTCCCCGGTTGGAAAAACTGGTGTTTTCTGTACCTCATTTCCATGCTCATCAATTATTGAGATGTAGTTGGGCTTAGTGTCATCAGGGTAAGAGAGTAAGACATCATAATGAACTAACTGAACAGAATCCAAACCAAACGTCTTCCACTCAGCTTGGACTTGCTGTGCCAGATGCATATTCTCCTTTGTTCCTGCTAGGTGAGGATGCTGTGTAAAATTGCTAGAGAAAAAGAAAGAAATGATCAGGTCAGGCACTGCAGCTTATAATCAGAACTCCTCTTAGCCTAGCTGGAAATAAACCCTCAAGAGATGATCAGATATACCCAGGCTAAATAAGGACCAAGGCTTCTCTGTATCTACACTTCTGCCTTTATAATACATAAATTGAGGTAAAGGGTTTCAGGCTGTCCAAAGCTAGCACAGGTATTTGTATCTTCCTTGCAGCATGGTTTAGCAAGAATGGTGTGATGGCACCAGATACAGGGTCTTGTCCTTTCTTTACTCCTTGTCTTCTGAGTAACATTAGGCCTGTGCACTCCTATACACAGTAAGACTTTCATCGTGAAGTGATAAAAGAAATAAGTATAATTATCTTTGTGCATTCAACCTAGAAATGTGCATAATTACTCTGATCCTTACCTGCAATTAACTGGATATTCTCCTTGGATACCACTATTTTAATTAATTTTGGAACAAATACTGATTTGTCTGAAAGTTCACTCTGAGTTTGCCATGTTGGCAAGTAAGAGAGACTGACTTCTGATTGCTGTAAACAACTATAAACAAGGAACAGAAAAACTCAACAGTTTGTGACTTAAAAGTCAGGCAGCATGAATAACAAACAGTGAAAGAGACATAAATAGTGAACAGCCCATTGTCTGAAAAAAAAAAAAAATTGTTCAGACCACTGAGAAGGCCCAGTGGTGAAGTGAGCTAAAAAAACCATCAGCTGAATGAGGTTGACATCATGATTTCCTCCTTCTGTCATATGACCATGCCATTAACACGCCATAGATGCTTGTGTGGCACCAGCTGGTGCTGGGGTATGAGATTAGGAAAACCTTAAATTCTTGAGTTCCACTGAGAACAAAGCCATCAAAGAAAGCACTTTGAAAGAACAATACACAGAGCAATAGAATAGCATAGCATAGCATAGCATAGCATAGCATAGCATAGAATAGAATAGAATAGAATAGAATAGAATAGAATAGAATAGAATAGAATAGAATAGAATAGGTTTGGTTGTAAGGAATCTACAACAATTATTTAGGTCCAATTGCCTGATCAATTCAGAGCTGATCAAGTTAATGCATGTGTTAAGGTCCAACAGGCTTGGAGCATCTCTAGGAAGCTTCTTTCAAGGTTTGACCACCCTCTCAGTAAAAAAAAATCTTCCTCATGTCAAGTCTCAACCTCCTCTCGTGCAGCTTTGAATGATTTCTTTATGTCCTATCACTGGATACCAGGGAAAAGAGACCAGCACCTCTCTCTCCACTTCCCCTCCTCAGGAAACTGTAAGGAGCAATGAGGTTGCCACTCAGCCTGTTTTTCCCCAAACTAGACAAACCCAAAGTCCTCAGCAGCCAAATGCTGCTAGATAAAACCATGTTCGTCTGATAATGTCAACATCTAGTACTAACACTGTCCTAAAAGTTACTGTTAGAGTGACAGCACCGTTTTCTGGATGACATACTGAACCAAGAGCATGGTTAAGTGTTATTTTTAGTGCCAATGGCGGTTTTCTGTAAGAGTTACAAATGCTTAAGTCTCACATTTTCATGAAAATTTGAAAATATCCTCCTGTATTACACTCCCATTTAACTGAATATTGTGTTTTTCTTCATTTCCTCTTCTAAGCTGTTAAAATACCTGTACTGGTAGTTCTGAGTAGTGACTAAACATCTGCCATATATTACTGCAGAACTGGCCACATGACAGTAAATGAGGCACAATGTTTTCTGTTTGCATAGAGGCAGGGAGTTTAGAGGGAAGAAAGAGGTCCTTTCACAGAGCTGTTTAACAACACCTACTTTGCAGGAGCCAAAATGCAGATTAAGACTCTTAAAACTCCTAAGTCTTCAATTTTAAATGTTTATGTTATAGTCATGGTATGACTGTTACGTAGTAAAGAAAACATACTTTCCAGCTAATTTATTTGCAATAGTTCGTGACAAATGCACTTCAAATTAAATCAGTGGGATTGCCACAATCGTACCAATCAAAAATGGGGTTTTAGTAATATAGTTTTGTACAACTTTAAGCTATGTAATCAGGATGGGAATTTGAGGCAAATCCAAATGTATTGATTACTCATACAATAATTGATGCTCTTTCTTTACACAGAAAGTAAATTTCTATCAAGAAACTACGACTTCTGGTCTATTACTGACTGGAATAAATACAAGCTTTTAACAAATACTACACTCTCCTAAGAGAAAAATAACCCATTTACAAGATTTCTAAAAGTACATCAGCTTACTTGCAGTTAAAGCTTCCAAGTCACTGAAATTGAGAAATTAATTACAGTAACTAAATTTTAATAGATTTTAAAGTATCTAAATTGTCATGTTCCATTGTTTTGAATTGTTTGAAGCATGACCAGCAGGTCGAGAGAGGAGATTCTGTCCCTCCATTCCGCTCTCACGAGACCCCCCACCTGAAGTGTTGTGCTCAGCTCTGAGGCCCCAACATAAGGACATGGATCTGTTGGAGCAAGTCCAGAGGAGGCCACAAAGATGATCAGAGGGGTGTAGCACCTCTCCTAAGGAGACGGGTTTAAAGACTTGGGGTTGTTCAGCCTGGAGAAGAGGAGGCTCTGGGAAGACCTTAAAGCACCTTCCAGTACCTAAAGGGGGCTTACAGGAAGCCTGGAGAGAGATACTTTAAAAGGGCACGCAGTAATAAGACAAGGGAGAATGGTTTTAGACTGAAAGAGAGGAGATTTAGATTAGATGTTAGGAAGAAATTCACTACTGTGAAGGGGGTGAGGCACTGGCAGAGGTTGTCCAGAGAAATTGTGGACTCCCAATCCTTGGAAGTGTTCAAGGCCAGGCTGGATGGGGCTTTGAGCAATCTGCTCTAGTGGAAGGTGTCCCTGCCTATGGCAGGGGTGTTGGAACTAGATGGTCTTTAAGGTCCCTTCCAGCACAACCCAAACTGTGATTCTATGACCCTTGGGCTGTTTCCAGCTTGAATTTTTTTCCTTGTCTGAACTGACTAGTCTAAAACTGCTTACTGAAGAAATTGCTTGATGTTTTCAGCTTTCATTTCAGCCATAAATGCTGTCTTCATGTCCTCATGAGTACTCAGAGATGTCTTCTTTTCTATAGGTTTTGCAAACCAGCCTGTACAACACAGCAAAATACAAGAGCAAAAACATGAGAGCAATATTCCCATGACACACAGCATTCCTCTTTGGTCTCCCCATAAGCTTTTCACTGTGCATTTTCCAACTGTTTTTACTTCAGCACATACAAGCAGCCACAACCTAATGCAGGCTGCACAGTGATGGCAGTGTCAGTCCCACAAATGGTAAGAGAACTTATTTCCATGGGTAGATGTTGAGGGATATAAAATACTATACTGTATTTACTTATCACAGCTATTTTCCTGTAGGTGCTAAGGACACTTACCTATCTTCCTTGAGTACCAGAACATCATGCTGTCAGTCATACCAGTTACCTCAGTAATAAGGCAGCAGCTTTACAAAAATGCATAGAAACACAGACACTCTTTGTAAGGAACAGATGTCTCGTAACTCCTTTCTCACTCTCTGGTCTGTCTGGCTCTTATTTTGGAATCTTTCCCTTACTGTGCAGGCATTAGCAGAGTAAGTGATGAGAAGAACACCTGGCTAGGAAGATAAGTGTTTCTGACATCTGTTTTTAAGTCAGACTGGACATGTTCAGTGTAAATGCAGCAGCAGCTATATGGGTAGTGTGAATGAGAGAGCTGATGTGTTCAAGCAGGTAACAAACTGGTACCAGTGAGGCACTGGTCACTGGCACAGTGAAAGGTTCTTTCTACATGAAAGAGCAATTCAGTCAATTCAAGCTTCCCAATGGCACCAACCCCAAGTACATACCAAATGGCAGTGCAAAATACAAGTGGCTCTTTTGTTTTCCTTCCTCCCTCAAGTTGATCCTATTTCATCTGTGAAACTAAAAGGAAGGTAGGGAGGGGAAATCTCTTGCAGCAGCAACCCACAAGCATGCCTGTTTAGGACGAGGAGGAGGTGGGACATCAAATTAAAGACTCTTTCTCCCCTCCTGTCAGCGCACCTCCAGCCCCGTGTTTATCTTCCTGCCGTTCTAGCTGGGGCTGCTGCGGTTTCAGGGCAGCGGGATCGAGGGGTCTGTCTTTTAAGGTGCTCTCCTCACAAACCCAGCGCCTCCTCTCTTGCCACAGCATGACTACTTTAATAAAAAGTAAATAGAAAACCAAAGTGAAAGAGACAAAGACCCTCCTGGGGCAGAGCTGGAAATCCCAGAGGGGTTCGGTGACTGCACCTGGCCCGTCTGAAGAGAGGATCGGAGAGAGGCAGGGAAGTAGGCAGAGAGGGCGGATGGTGTCGGCCGGCTGAGCACGGACTCACCTCAGGCACCCTTGGCACAAATTCCCGGGCGCTGGCAACCCGCCCGCTCCTCCCCGCCCCCGGCCCTTCCTGGCCCGTCTCCGAGTCACCTGCCCCGGCTGGACGGGCCGGGGCCGGCCGGAAGAGCCCTCAACGCTAGGGAGGGTTAGTCTGCACTGTACCGATGAGGAACCCGAGGAGGAAGAGCCCCGCTGCTGCTCCCAGGATGGCAGCCCAGAAGCGGCCGCTGGCTGCCCTGGGTCCGGCCGGCTCCGAGACGAGGCCGAGCGATGTCCACATCGCTGCCGGCCCGGCCCGTCCACGCCGCTCCGGCAGCGCCTCCGCCGCCGCCCGCAGTGCCCTCCGAGCCTCCCGCCTCCGCCCGGCCCCCGCACACACCCCCGGAGGGCTCCACTCTCCCCGCCCCGCCCGGGGACAAGGCCCCCCCGCCATCCTGCCCGGGCTCCGGCGACCGGAGCTGCTGATCGGGAGCTGGGCTGCGCGCTTGCTGAGGTCTGCCGGTCGGTCCAGGCGTGCCCATCTCTGCCAGTCTCCTCACATATCCTGCCACCCCGTATTTCACAGAATCCGTTAGGTTGGAAAAGACCTCTGAGATCATCAAGTCCAACCTATGACCGAACACCACCTTGCCAACTAGACCATGGCACTAAGCGCCACGTCCAGTCCAGTCTTTCCTTAAACACCTTCATGGATGGTGACTTCTCCTCCTCCCTGGGCAGCCCATTCCAATATCTAGTCACCATTTTCATGAAAGACATTTTTCTTAATGTCCAACTGAATCTCCCCTGGCACAGTTTGAGACTCTGTCCTCTTGTCCTGTCGCTAGTTCCCTGGGAGAAGAGGTCACCCCTCACCTGGGTACAACCTCCCTTCAGGTAGTTTTAGAGTGATAAAGTCACTCATGAGTCTTCTCCAGGCAAAACACCCCCAGCTCCTTCAACTGCTTTTAATGGCATTCCAGACCCTTCACCAGTTTTGTTGTCCTTCTCTGGACCCACTCCAGCACCTCAATGTCCTTCCTGAATTGAGGGGCCCAGAACTGGACACAGGACTTAAGATGTGGCCTCACCACTGCCGAGTACAAGGGGAGAACCATTTCCCTAGTCCTGCTGGCCGCCCTGTTTCTGACACATGGCAGGATGCCATTGGCCTTCTTGGCCACCTGGGCACACAGTTCTTTTGACTTGCAACAAAGTGCAGCAAGGACATAGAGCGATGACTTCCACACCTGGTTTGCCATGGATTTCTCACTGTGCTCTGCCATGCCATCCTCCACAGACCACATACTGGACAACACACCAGGCAACACCAACAGGGCAAACCTGAGGGCAAAAAAAAGTAAAAGCCATTATTTTAACAGATATATTTTAAGAAATATTGTACTCCAGTACTCAACACACTTTCAGACTATAAAGACTCTTCAGAGAGATGTGTGCCCCTGTGGAGATAGGTTGAGTATCGTGCATCTTCATGCTCTGTGTTTCCTTCCATTTTATGGAAACACAGCCCCAAGAAGAGTGTGTGCACTCAGTTGCCAGTTTGAGGACAAGCCTGAAACTTTGTACACACTTGACTGTTTTTCCACCTCTTAAAATCTCTTCTGTATGATTTTGGAAAAAATCCCCATTCAATTCAGTTATCGCATTTGGGATAAGACTGTACCTTTAGGGCCATGAACAGAGAGGAACTTTGCTGGCAGAGGTGACCTCACAGGCTCTACATGAATTTTCATCCTCAGAACCTTTGCTCAGGTGCCAGCTGTAGTTATATTGTGCTCATGTCCACATATAGTACAGGCAACCTGTTCTCAACAGCTGATGCAGGGACTGTGCACTCTATAGGACTGCTCCTATTGAACCACACTATGTGCTGACGCAGATAAAAACTGAATCTAGGATGGATTACAGACCTTGAACTTTATCTGGCCTCATTTGCAGAGCCTATTGCACTAGGAAATCTTGGTACAAGAACACTAGATAGACCCTGTGGATAGCAGAAGTGTTGGTTTCAAAGAGCAATACACTAATGACACAGCAGTAGTGTGCTTTGAAAATTTATGTGAAAAAAAATTACCAAAGAGAAAGTAAAGAAAAAAAGCCTGTGTTTGTGTTATTAGTCCTGTCTCCTACTTTATACTATTCTACACAGTCTGGTGTTATTGTGCAACAACCCTGCTTATAATGATCCTTACCCCACCGTCTGCTTTCCTTTCCTATCCTATACCTAAAGGTGCATAATGTGCCTGTGTTTGCTTCTCCTCCACTACTCACTGATGGATACTGAAAACAAGGCAGTGTTAAGTAGGATGAAGAATGGACATGTCTTCTGGTATTCTTAAAAAGATTAATATGGCCAGGGCACCTTTGGGCATGAGAAACTTGGAAGAGCTTGTGGAATAGTTAATTTCTGTTTGGTGCACTTGGAAATTAGGTTAATGAAGCACCATGGGACTAGGCACTGAGCAAAAATATATCCCTCAAATAATATTCCAGAGGGATTTAATCGATCCCAGTGGTTTATGACCACAGTTACTCAAGTAGAAGAAGAAGGGAGCAGTGAGTAACTTGAGGTGGGAATATCATCAAAAGTTTGGTGCTGTTCAGTACTTTAATACTAATTGACCTGCCCACACCACTTAGAAGCTCTGAGTTACTGCTTTTACATCTTCTAGTGTGCCTGCAGCTTGGGCAGCACATTATGAACCTTAAGTATACAATAGCAGCAGCCAAAGGGCATAGAAAAGATTTATTCAAGAACAAATTGCAGTTATGATAAATGCATAAAATATTATGCTTGTTCCTGTACAGAATCATGTAAATAACTTTGCAAGCAAAGCCATTTCACTAAACCAAAAGTAGAAAAAAGTAACACTCCTCCTGTTTCTGTGTCTCAGTGAAAAATCTTCTACTAATCAAAGTACTAAAAATTATTTTTTCTTATCTCTGA